ATGTTGGAACAAAATCACTTCGAATGTCTTGATCAACAGTCCCCCATAATCCCTCGAAGCATTTGCATGTTTCTTAGATGAGTAACAATCATCAATTCTATGGAGCATTCAGTGCAACTTCATTGAAGAAGGAAGGGGAATGAGGAAAAGAAGGAAGAAGTGAAAAAGGGAAGAGGAGAGGAAGAGAAGGAAAGAAGGAGGGAAAAGCAGGAGAGAAAGGAGCAACAAGGAGGAGATGGAGGAGGATGAGATTGAAGAGGGAGAAGGAGGGGCAGCAAATTGAACCTGAAGGAGAAGGAAAATAAAGGTACAAGCAGCAATTGATGAAACAGAAAACAAAGAAACAACAGGAACAAATCTAGAAAGCCAAAGCTTGTTCTTTGAAAGATAAATAAAACTGATAAAACGCTAACTATACTGATAAAGATTTAAAGTGCAAAAATTGGCCACATCAGCCCCCAAGCCCTCTTCTTTGAACTGCTTTGTGATACGGAAGATGGCGCCTGTAAACATTTTGTAACAGTGGGGAATTTTAACACTGGAGATTTGTAACCCGTCCCACCATTCTTTTGACATTGTTTCTGTAAGTACTGACTCTGACTATGTAGCTTGTAGATAAATAGCATGTTTATATAAGAATCCTAGGAACTAACTTCAAAGATACTGACTCTGACGCTCAGTCATCCCAGCTCTGAGAGATTTCCCGTCTTTCAACTGTAAAATCAGGGTGATGAAAACCGGGATGATACACACCAGACCACTGCTCGATCAGTTTCAAGGTCCTTATCGGAATGCACTGTGCTGGTCGGCAAGCAGAGAGCTTTTCAACCCCCACCACTGATCTCTTTGTTCTGCTTTCCTTCTCCCTCCTAATGAAAACCTCTGCCTGCACTGAGATTTTAAGATGGGCTTTGAGATGTGAGTCCCCAATCTTCTCAGGTGGCGGGCACCTTTGGATAAAACACTTTCCTTCTCACCAGCACCTGTCCCATGAGTGTGGCTTTCGTGGTGTCAGGGAGTCAACCCTGCAGGGACATTTTTCCCAGTTTCAATTTCTCTGTATCAGATAGTGCAGAGGGTACTGCAGGGACTTTGCAGAGAAAGGAGCTTTGTTTCCATGTGCATTTTCGTTCCTGCTCCTGTGGCGTGTCACTGCTAGCAGCATTTGGCACACCCAGCGATGTACCCCTTCCAGGGACGACCAGTGGTACTTACCCTTCACTGATGTTCACCAAACCGTAAATGGTTTCCCAGAAACTTTAACCAGAACCACAAAATGGAATTTTCTAGGGAGTCTCAGCAGTAGGCCAGAAGGCAGCGTCCCAATATGTCTCAAACACACCCCAGAGGGCAGTTTTTTGAATCCCAGGCCCAGCACACACTGTTTCAGCAAAATTCTTTGCCAGCCACAGTGCCGCAGCCATACCACCTCCAATGAGATCTGAATCTCAGCCTTGCAAGGAAGACCTCTTCCAAATTTGCTCCTTCCTCGGTTTCTCCCAGGAAGTGGCTAAACTCTACATCTGCCATTTCTGTATCTTTTAGAGGTCTCATCACCATTTAGTAGTTAATCCCACTGCTAGCTAATAACTCTGTAAGTTTTTCCCTGGTGTGATTTCTATCTCCTGATTGGACCCTGGCTGATACAACTGATGAATTCTAAGATTTAAGAACTTCAAAAACTCTCAGAAAATAGAGGAGAGGAGGAAACATTTCTCAACTAATTTTATGAGGCATCACCCTATCACTAAAACTAGATAAAATCATTACAAGAAAAAAACTAAACCACTCTGGCTGGTGTGGCTCAGTGGACTGAGTGCCAGCCTGCAAACCAAAAGGTCACCTGTTCTATTCCCACTCAGGGCACGTGGCTGGGTTGCAGCCTGGGTTCCCAGTGTGGGGGTGCACGAGAGGCAACTAATCAGTGTATCTCTCACACATCAATGCTTCTCTCCCTCTCTTTCTCCCTCCCTTCCCCTCTCTCTAAAAATAGGTAAATAAAATCTTAAAAAAAAACCCTAAACCAATATTTCACATAAACATTGACACAAAACACCCTTAACCAAATATTGGCAAATTGAATCCATGAATATATAAACAGGGCAATAAACCCCACTTGGTCATGATATATGTCAGAAAGGCAGTTGTTTTACTATTTAAAAATCAATCTGATATACCACCTTAATAAAGCAGAAAAATCATATATCTCATTAGATGTAGAAAAGCATTTAATGAATGCAATCTCTATTTATAATAAAATTCCAAAAAACTGGAAATAGAAGGTAACTTTCCCTAGATAAAGGGAATCTATTACACACACACACACACACACACACACACACTCCTACACACCTCTATAGCTAACGTCACACTTAACGGTGAAAGACATTTTGCCCCTAAGACCAGGAACAAGGCGAGGACATCTGCTCTAACCACTGTTGTCCTACATTGTACTGGGTCCTAGCTACTGCAATAAAGCAACACCAGAACTAAAGCAGGCATATAGGAAAGGGATGAGTAAAACTATCTGTATCTACCGGTGACATTATTTCATAGGTAGAAATCCAAAAGAATTTACCAAAGAAAAGGGGGGAGGATTAATAAAAACTAAGTGAATTTAGCAATGCAGTAGGACTGAAGGTCAACATAAGAAAGCAACTGTATGTTGGTATACCCAGAACAAATCACTGAAAAATAAAATTTATAAAAAAAAACACCACTTACAATAGCATTAAAAGAACATAAAGGATGTAAGGATAAATTTAATAATATATATGCAGAGCCTGTACACAAAAAGTTACAGAAATTGCAAACAGAAATTATGGAAAGGCAAAAATGTGGAAATGTAACAGGCTCATAGACTGAAGGGCTGATATTATTAAGGTTATCTATTCTCTAAAAATGATCTGTAATTTCATTGTAATACAATCAAAATTCCAGAGAGCTCTTTGCATAAGTACATAAGGGGAGTCTAAAATTTATATGAAAATGTAAAATGACCTAGGTTAGCCCAAACAATTTTGAAGAACAGAGTTGGAGGATTAAGACTGAGTTCAAATTTTATTATAGAGCTACAGGAATGAAGACAGGATGGTATTTGCCTAGGGAATATATGATCAACAGAACAGAATAAAGAGTTTATTTCTGGATGTGCACATTTGACACAGAATGGTCTTTTCAATAAAAGACACTGGAAAAACTGAATATCTTATAAAGGGAAAATGAACCTAAAACCCCTCATTATATACAAAAATTAATGCAAAATGGATCACAGACCTGAATGTAAAAGCTAAAAATATAACACTTCTAAATGGAAGCATAAGGAAAAACTCCTTGTAAACTAGGGATAGACAAAGATTTTTTTAGGACACAAAAGAACACCTACCGTAAAAGGAAAAAGTGATAAATTGGACTTCCAAATTAAACTTTTACACTCTTGTAAAGATATGGACTTGGAAAAAATGATTCATAAAACATATACCTAATATTTAAAAAAAGAAAAGAAACTTGCATCTGGAATATATAAAGAACTCTTACAACTCACTAAGGCAGACAACACAATTTTTAAAATGAGCAAAATACTTAAGCAGGGATTTCACAAAAGAAAATATATGAATGACCAGTAAGCCCATACAAAGATGCTCAGCATCTAATGTACCTACCACACACCCACAAGAAAGGGCTAAAATATAAAGAACAACACTAGGAAGCATTGGCAAGAATGTGGAGCGACGGACATTCTCACACATTGCTGACAGGAGTGTAAAATCATAAACCATTACAGAAAACAATTTCCAACGTCACTTCTTGGGATTTACCCAAATGAAATAAAACTGCAAACACATCTCCCCATGAAAACTTGCACACAAACGTTCATAACAGCTTTCTTTGTAACACCAAAACACGGGGGACAGGTTGGTAGAGCCATACAACTGAAAGCTCTTTGAAATAAGGAGCAAACCACTGCTACACACGGCAGCATAATCAAACCTCAAAAGACTCATGACGAATGAAACAAGTCATGCGCAGTAGAGTACATAGCACATGAGGCCGAGTGTAAGCTGTTTTGGAACAAAAAAAACGTACCAGTAGTGAAAGCAAGGAGACCAGGGGCTGTCTGAGACGGGGGCATGAGAGGAACTGACGCACAGGTGTACAGGAGAGCTTTCCAAGGAGATGAACATGTGTGATACTGATTGGGGTATCCTTTCAATTTCGATATTGATGGATGTATCCTTTCATCAAGACTCACCAAACTGTATGCTTAAAATGAGAACACTTTGTTGTATGTAAATTATACCTCAGTATAGTTTATGTTTTAAAGATACGTGGGACCAAACTGAAAATCACTTAGATTTGGTTTTAATTGAAAACTTGTCTCTGTAATTTGATTTATTCTAATATTTAGCTTCTTGTGTTTAATAGTAATACAAAATTTCATGTCAGCTGAGCCTATATTCAACCATTACAAATTCCAAAATTGAAGAGTTAGTTCATTGAAGCTTTACACTTTCATTATAAGGATTTCCAGAAGTTATTTTATTCACATGAATAATTGAGTTGTTTTTAGGAGGCACACGAATTCTTAAATATAAATTACACTGCATGACAAATATGCTCACCCATACTTAAATATAAATGCAGCAGTAGTTTAATGAAATAAGTGCATCTAACCACACAAAATATTAGAGGATGATCTAATTCTATGAACTAGCAAATAGCTAAATGCCCCCCCCTTCTTCTGTGTATAAGCAGATAAAAGAATTCATTAGTTCTTCTAGTTTGTTGCCAGTGGCACATGAGAAGCCAGAACAGAAAAAAAGCACAATGAAATGAAACAGGAAAATTTACTTCAATTTCATCTTTGGACCCACTTACAGCATTGGCTACATGGCATTTTCTTCCTCCTTCCAGCCACCTGGGAAACATTATAACAGAGAGGTAGAGAGTCACATGACTAAAAGCTGGATGGGAAAGAATAAACACAACGCAGATACCCAATTAATCTGCTAGTATTTATTATTGCAGAAATAGCTTTAGAGGTAGTTTATTAATGAGACACTTTTCAACTTATCCCATTTATAATATCTATAATTAATTCTAAAGCATCATAATAAACAGAAGAGAAAAAAATACTTTTTAGAATGTCTTTCTAGAATAACAGGCTGAAGTGGTTTTCAAAAAGCAGCATTTCCAGTGTTCTTCAGCTCCTTAGTATGGCAGCATTATCTTACTAAGACAAGGACACCTGTGCACTTAGACACACCTCAGCATGAATAAACACATCTCTGGGACAATCAAGTTATTGGCACCTTGAATGATCACTCTGCGAATGAGATGATGAGAGCAATCTCAGCATTAACCCCAAGGCTTCGAGGTCTGGACCACCCAAACCGCTCCTAAGGGTGAGACCAATGTACCATTCCAATAGTAGAGTACATTCCGAGTAATGTTACAGGTTCATCTTCTTCCCCTTGGACTTAGATTAAAAAAAAAAAAAAACTTTCCACAGGATCAAGCAAAAATATTTTTTCGCACTTACTCTTCATTATTTTTAGCCTCCAAAGGCTCATATGTTGATCCGTCAAAACAAGACCTGGCTCTGAACCAAAGCCAAAAAGGAAGGGAAAAGATCTGAAGAGCGATCTACGGCGCTCAGAGAACTTCAGGGCGTGGCTTCCACCTGAAAGTTGTCAAACTGCGCAAATTCAAAGGAGTGCGTTCCGATCGCAGCCCAGCCGTTCTTCGGGAAATTCACCAGGACGTCTTTCCAGACAGCCTTGCCGTTCAACATGCCAGAGGCAAAACGACCCTGGGGAAGAGAGAGAGAGAGAGGCATCCCTTGGAGACACACGAAAACGACTCTCTGAGGTCTGTTTCCGAGTAACATGTGGCCCACCGACGTGGTGGAGCAACCATCCTTGTCACTTTAGCCTCACCACCGGAAACCAGTTCCACGACTGGAACAGAAGTCTGAAACACAGGAACGGTTTTCTCAGCGGAAATTCTTATCTACCTACGCAAAGAAGTTTCCAAGGCACTGGAATATCTCAATATTTCCTTGGACTCCACCAAAATGTTGTAAAGCCAACAGAAATGTGAAAGTCTTCATAACATCATCATAAACTTTTAGACAAGAGCCCAGTAAAATGAAGAACATTCGCTATTTGCAAGCGGTTGCACGCACACAGGTCATCCTGACTGCCACCACCAAGTTCCTCGGCTGTGCCTGCTGGAGCCCAAACGTCCACTTACGTAAGTCCTTTTTATCCGCATGCACAGGACAGCACCTCAAAGGCATGCATGGACCCCACCCTCATGTTAGAGAAACAGGAACCATCAGCGATGATGGGGGTGGGGAGGGGTAAAGAAGGGAAGTCTCCACAGCAATGACTGACGGCTCACTGACAGAGCAAGATAAAGTCCGGCCCCTTCACATGGCTGCCATTCCTACTAAGCTAAGTGCCTGGCGCACGCTGAGTAAATGCTAGCTTGCTCTTACTATCATTATTACAGCATATTTATGAGCATATATTCACAGCATGCTATTATAACTAAACATTTCAAACTAGCTCATTTCAATAAATGGGCTGCTAAAGATCCAAAGCACAAGGCCAAGCACCGAAGTAAAATCTTGTAAGTCGTATAATGCAATGGACTTCTAGTTACTTCATTCTACAAATGGAAATTCTGAGACTTAAGATTAAAAAGCAAAGTCACAGATTTACCAGCAGTGCTAGGAACTGAATCCTAGTCATCAATTTACATCCCTACGCGCGCGCGCACACACACACACACACACACACAGAGCTACCCTCAGCTCTAAAAGTGGTTATTGAACATCTTCTGCCTCTTATGAAACAGTGAGTATTACCCCTGAGCCAAGGGACTCACATACACAAGTCACATTAAGCACAAAACCTAATGGTACCTCATCTCCTCTTCCCATGCCCCCGCCCCTCACTCCCCCGGTGTCAGCCACCCTGGCCTCCTGGCTGCTTCTCACACCAGGCCCGGCCCAGAAGCACCCTCCGCTCAAACATCGCCCTCTCCAAGAGGTCTTACCGGACCTTTCTATCCAGAAAACCCAGGCAAGGGAGCTCCTTTATCTCATTGTCTATTTTTTTCTTCACAATTTTATTGATTGGTTTATCTCCCAGTTTATTGTCTTAAGAACAGGAGTCAACTATGGCCCGCAGGTCAGTCACCTATTTTTATAAAGAAAATTCTCCTGGAATACAACTACACCCATTCATTTACCTATTGTCTGTGGCTCATTACAAAAACAGAGTTGAGTAGTTCCAACACAGGCCATACGCCTCACAAAGGGTAAATAAAACGTTTCCCATCTGGCCCTGCGCAGCAAAGTCTGCCAATCCCTGTCCGGGAAGAATGTGGCTGTGAGAGAGCAGAACGCTTGTCTGTCTTGTTCGCTGCCATCCCCCTAGAAAAGTGCACACCGTAAATGCTTCATAAAAATGTGCTGAATAAAAGAACATAAGACATTTAGCCCTAAAGCAACTTTACAGAAGTTATCTCCATTCTACAGACAAAAAACAGAAGCTCAAAAAGCTGAAGTAACTCGCTAGAAGTTTCGGTACCTATCAGCAAGGCACTAGGAATACTGGTCCTTCTGGTTCCATGCACACCTACGCCTAAGAATATTAACTTGATTCACTAAGCGCTTCCCACATACCAGGCACTGTACCAAATTTTCACACGTATCATCCCATTCAATCTTCATAAGAGGGTGTGTGTTCATGATATTGTGGATGGGCAAACAGAAGATGAACAACGTAAGATACTTGAAAATAAACATAACAGACCTCAAAGTATCTTGTTCTAAATACTACACAACAATGCTAAGGGTGAAGAAATAAAAAACAGCCAACATTAAAATGAGAAAATCCTCATATTGGCTGTAATTTGGAAAACAAACACCATAGAGGATGTTTTACTTTATTGTTTTCATTTATGCAGCAAATCTTTACGAGCCAAGTGCTGTTTAATGCACTTGGAATTTAGGGTGCACAAGAAAGACGGGGACCCCGCCCTTACAGAGCTTACACTCTCGTGGAAGGACACCCACACACAATAAGAGCTAAGCCCTGAGTGGCACATGCAGAAATAAAGCAGGTTGCTGTGGTGTAGGTACGCAAGAGACTACTTCAGTCTGGAGAGCCGGAGAACTATCAGGGATTGTGTGCAGACTGCAGATGCGAGGGGGGAGCAGAATGCCCACAGCTGATGGGACAGAAAACAACGGTCTGGTGGAGGGGGTGGGGACCAGGTCAGCAAAACCCCTACCCATCCAGTACCAAGACCAGGGCTAATTTCTGTACGGAGTAATCACATGGTGTTAAGGAGATACAGAAGAAACAGCTACGGTCGTTCCGAGTGGCTGCATCGGAGGAAGAGACACAGGACAGGGAGCAGAAGAAGAAACAAGGGGGTGAGGCAGGAGGCAGCTCTTTTCATGACCCCTTCTGATCATTTTTAACCATGTATGCAATGCACCTAAAAAAATTCAGAAAACTTATGTTTTTAAGACCCTTCATAAATTCAAAAATTTCATAAAACGATGAAAAATAAGACCTGGCTGGCGTAGCTAAGTGGATTGAGTGCAGGCTGCGAACCAAAGCATCGCAGGTTCAATTCCCAGCCAGGGCACATGCCTGGGTTGCAGGCCACGGCCCCCAGCAACCGCACATTGATGTTTCTCTCTCCCTCTCTTTCTCCCTCCCTTCCCTCTCTAAAAATAAATTTTTTAAAAAGATTTAAAAAAATGTTTAAAAAAACGATGAAGAATAAGCGTAAATGTGTGAGAACCACAAAAATAAAACTCCAAGACACAGTGGGAGATCTTAAATGGTGAGATGCAGCATGTTCTCGTTCCCATGTCCTTGATGGGCGAACACACCATTCTTTTAAAAAAGGTTCTTTTTGCCCAAACTGATGTATAAATCCAGTGTAGTACTGGCAGTCTTTTTCATAAAATTTAAAAGATTATTTAAAAATTCAAGTAGAAGAGGATATATGCTAGCAGAGCAGATAATTTTGAACTAGCCATCAGAGGGATGCAAATTAAAACCACAACAAGATATCCCCTCACACCTGCCAGATGGCTCTCATTAATAAATCAACAAACACGTGCTGGTGAGGGTGTGGAGAAAAGGGAACACTCGTGTACTGTTGGTGGGAATGCAGACTGGTGCAGCCGCTATGGAAAATAGTATGGAATTTCCTCAATAAACTAAAAACGGAACTGCCTTTTGTCCCAGCAATTCTGCTGCTGGGAGTATATCCCAAAAATCCTGAATCAGCAATTCAAAAAAACCTGTATGTTCCCGGCAGTGCCATATACCATTGCCAAGTGCTGGCAACAGCCTAAATGCCCATCAGGAGATGAGTGGGTTAAGAACCGTGGTACATATACACGATGGAATACTACACAGCAGAGAGAAAAAAGGAGCTCCTACCTTGTGCAACAGCAAGGAGAACTGGAGAATACTATGCTAAGTGAAATAAGCCAGTTGGTGAAAAACAAATACCATATGATCTCACCTATAAGACAAATCTAACAAACATAATAAACTAACCAACAAAATAGAACCACGGGCATGGGAACATGGAGCAGACTGACAGTGACCAGAGGTGAAGAGTCAGGGGGATACTGGTGGGGAGAAGGGGAAGGGACTAGTCAGAGAACATGTATGAATGACCCACGGACATGGACAACAGTGCGGGAATTGACTGTGGGAGCAGGGGGTGGGCTGGGTGGAGGAGGAAAACAGGGGGGGAAATTGGGACAACTGTAATAAAATAACAATACAAATGATTTTAAAATGCCAATTATTCTCGGTAAATAAAGCAATGTGATGATTGGAAAAAGAAATAATGCAGGGCTAGCCCCACGAAACAGCCCCTCATTCATTCACGCAGACCTGTGTGAGCAGGCGCTCTTCGAGGTGCTGGAGAGCCAGTGGTGACTGCAACAGAAGGAGGCTGGCCATTATAGGAGCCATGTCCCAGTGAAGGGAGTGAGACTCACACATGTAAACTGTCAACAGAACATGTACGAAGTCAGGAGGTCATAAGAGCTTTGGAGAAAAACAAAGCAAGGGAAGAGGGAATGCTATTTTATATAAGGTGGTCAGAAAAGGGCTCTGAAGGAGTAAGGGAGCAAACCATACGATCAAAGGCGTTAGAACGTGCATGCAATTTAAAGTGTCAAACTGGATGATAATAGACGAACAGAACAAAATAAAGAACAAAGAAATGTTCGGGAACAAGACTAGGCACATGTGACAATTTTACATCAAATAAGTAGCCTTAAATCTTAAGCAAAAGGACAGTCTATATAGTAAATGATGACAGCTACCCATTGGTTTTTACAAAATTATACTCAGCTCTTCCCCTTACAGTTCACAAATGAATTCCAGATGAATTAAAGACTTAAATGTAAAAAACATCCTAAACTTTGTTTAGTTTGGGGAAAAAAGTATTCCTAACCTAAAGAAAAGGGAAGGCCTTCTTAAACAAAACATAAAACATAAAAGCAATGAAAGAAAAGTGAAATATTTGACAATACCAAAATTTTACATTCCTATTCATGAAACATACCATAATCAAAATTAAAATACAAATAATGAGAGAAGAAAATACTTGTAACCCATATAAGAGACAATGGGTTACTACCCAGAATATGTAATAAATTTATACAGACCCATCAGAAAAAGAAAACATAACAGGAAAATAAGGACAGAATTCAGTGGGTAGCTTCAGAGAAGAGAAAATACAAATGGCCAATGAACATAAAACATACAACTTCCCTGATTATCAAGGTAATACAAATCATGTCTATTAGTTTGAAAATAATCTTTAAAACTTAATAGTAGCAAACATGATTATAACTGCTGTAAAAATCAATCCACTTTGACTAGCAATAGGGCAGTATCTGTTAAAATTTAAAATGCAGTCCCATTTCTAAATACCTGCCTAAGCAAATAACAGAACATGTGCACCCAGGAGCACGTAAGAGATCCCTCCACTCTATCTGCAAGTAAAGGCATCCCTTACTGCCTCAGTTTACCCAGAGGAAAGAACTGGGAACAGAGTTATGCCCTTCAGGTGTGGTATAGTTAAACAAACTCTGCTACCCCCAAACCACATGGTCAAAACATACAGATGCCTAAAAAATCAGTACTGTCATTTTTGGTGGTTGGGTGAGGGAAGAGAACAAGTTCAAAAAGTTATCTGAATTCTATTTCCAAGCTCTAGTATAACCTAAACAAAATTATGCCTATCTTGACTGAGATCAGTACATTATACAGAATTATTCCACATAGAATCCCTTAGAAGCATGGAAACCAATACTTCATGATCAACCAGTTATTCTGACAAATATTTTTAGATTCCATGGTACTACCATTAACCCAGTATCTGCTCTGACAAACATATTCATGGAAACCAATTTCTAGAATATTGTGCTTATAGTCAAAAACCAAATTATATTCCACCACCAAAAATAAATGTATGACTTTGCTTATACCTACAAGCTCCAATTTTAATCTTCGTTCAAGCAAACTTGAAAAAACAGGTCAATTATTGGGGAAATCAAGTCAACCGATGACGGTTCTCCTGGGGGTTGATGCTGACACGAACCCCCATTCTAGGGAGTGGTGGTTTGCTGGTGTCACGGTAGATTGTCTATTTCCATTATTTACCACAGTTTCCCCCTCTCATTTGTTACCAGAAAATGCTAGAAAGGGACAAGAAAAGAACCTCCTACCTCCAGCCATTCTGAGCAGCATCACTTACCTTCACAGTTAAAGTGAGTGTATACCATTGCTGGGCCGTGACATCGACTTGCCCGAAAGTGTACACCACCCATCCGGCTGTAACACAAGAAGACTGTCTGAATCACAGAATCACGTGACTCAGTGGGGGCTCTCAGCTGGCATGGGCATGTTGTAAAGTCAACCTTAATAAAGATCTACAGCTGATTTAAAACAAAACATCATTCAGGCATGCATTCAGCAAGCATACATGGAGATCCTACCCTGGCCATACGTGTGAGCTCACCAGAGAACCAGGGGAAGAAACTTACAAACCAACGACACTGTAATGCACTAGCTTCTGTGGTTCCGGTATATACTTTTACCGGATCGAACTGAATCCAGAGGATGAGAAGGAGTATTCAAAGACTACCGTAAGAGTTCTAGCTGGTGTCATTGGTTACACGGTAAGAGCCTTCACTGAGATTTAGAGAGAGGAAAGAATGACTTGACTTGGGGATGTATTAGCGTGGAGTGCCTGAGAAAAACCCAGGACGAGATGCTGAGGGGCAGTTCACATACAGAGCAGTGGGCACCAAAGACACCGATTTAAATTCTTAGTCCCAACCCTGCCACTGACTCACTTTGAGACCTTGGGCAAGTCAATGAACCTTTCGGACTCTCTGTTTTGGGTTGGAAAATGGGAGGTGCTTTCCAGATTAGTCGTGTTCTGACTATACAACTTCTACTCAAATGTCCTCACTACCCACTTCCTCCTTTCTTTTCTTTTCATTTCATTTATGGAGCTCTTTTCACCTTAGAAAGAGGCAAAGAGCAGAAAGCTGCAGGAGAACGGGTTTTTTATTGATGCTGGAGGAAAGTCAAGAGACTCAGACTCCTGAAGAGTCACCACCAACAAGGGCCAGTTTCACAGAGCAGTGTGTATACCCACAGCAAAGGGAATTGGATGGATTTCAACTTGAACATAGTCTAAGCCACTATTCTGGATAAAACACTATTCTGCATAGAACAAGGGCTGTTAAAATGAAGGAGAAAAATTCAGCTGTTTTCAAATTATTAACTAAATTAAGAAATAGGGTTACACCACTTGAAGCATACCAGTGCCTCTCCTTATATTTCCATAAGCACAGTGGCCACACTCTTATAGTGGTGCTTTTATTTACAATGTTTCCAGAGCATTCTCTCCCTACTACCACCCTCACCCCATGTATGCAAATCCCACCCCAGCAGCCAGCTCAACTCCATAACACCTGAAAAGGCTTTGTACAATTTTCTCTTTTACTCAGTGGCTTCTTTCCTACATGCGATAGAAGAAGTCACTTACCCAGATCACCTGTAACTCGGTAGGTTCCATTTGCAAAAATCCAGAAGAAAATTCCTCTGGCACTTCTAATGAAGATACCACCTCTGTTTACTCTCCCGGCAATGAACACACCTCCTGTGTAAGGGGTCTCTATGTACACATCACACTTGATAGTGATATTGGACCTGCAGAATGACACTGTGGGTTAGTGCTTTTGATTATGCCATTCCAAGTGCAGCGCAAATGCATCATTTCACAACCACATGCTTCCAAACGTCTAAGGAAGGCCAGTATGTGATTTGCTAGGTCTGTGCTTGTAGCAGGGATGGGCTTCAAGAATCTTCATTGATCACAGTTTTAAGAGTTGCATGACTAAAGTCAAGTCATTTCATTGCCACTTTTAATGATTTACTGGAAACCTATATTTCCTGTTTTTAAGTTTCATAAGAATATATGACCAGTCAGGGCACATGCCTGGGTTGCAGGCCAGAGCCCCCAGCAACCGCACATTGATGTTTCTCTCTCTCTCTCTTTCTCCCTCCCTTCCCTCCCTAAAATAAATAAATAAATAAATAAAATCTTTAAAAAAAAAAAGAATATACGAGTATTTCTTGTCTCCCTATAATAACACAACTTCTCATGCTAAGAAGATATATTTTTAAAAAGCCACTTTTTCTAGGAGTGCATAAAAGGTAAGTGTCCACACAATTCTGAACACAAGGGAAACTGCACTTCCATCCGCAGAGATAAGCAGCGAAGGCGATGGCAGGCGTCTCTGGGAGGACACGCATGACTTCAGGGCTGGGTTTCACCCTGCACCCTAACGAGACCTAAAAACTCCAGGCAGAAGATCTAAAACTACTTCTCTGCAGAGATGGTGCCAATGCTGTGTTGACTCTACAACACCGATTTTCAAACCTGAACAGCGCTGAAGTCACCCGCAAGGCTTGTGACACCCAGTAGGTCAGAGGTGCGCCCCTTGAATCGGCTAACAAATTCCCAGGTAACGCTGCTGCTGCTGCTGGTCTGGGACTTCCAGCTGGAGAACCATCTCCCCTGGAGAGCACCTCTGTTTATACACAGGCAGTAAAACCCCAGTTCTGGGGTCACTGATGGACAGCAGACTACCAAAGCAGGGGAGACTCAGCCAACAGGAGCCACCAGGGCTTGGACAATGAGCTCTCTCCTCCAGGCTCCCTTTTTCTAAACGCCACGGACACCTTACGCAATGACAGAGCCACCTGAAACCAACATGAGCTCTGAACATAACTCACCTCCCAGCGAAGTCTACCTACAAATGAGAAAGAAAACCTGAACACAGCCAAGTAATAAAGCAAGCAATTCATCTAAAATTAAAAACATAAAGAATGCCCAAAAATACATTGGAAATGAGGAGCAAGCTTGATATAGAATTTTGTGGCTTTCACATTTCTAGGAGTTTCTTCCTACCAAGAAAATGTGCACAGTGGAATTTACTATGTAAATGAAAATATTTTTAAAATGAAGCACCCACAACAGACACTCAGCAATAAAGGAAACTCAATTTAAGACTCTAAACAGAGCTGGGCACTTTCACAGGAAGTTCAGAGGCTAAGTCACTGAAGCCTGTCTCCCCTGCAAGTCCTCACACAGTGGAGGGATCTTTTCTCTCCGCATATTGTCATCTGCACAAACCCTCTCAGGAGCCACAAGGTCCTTACAACCCTTCCTCTCTTCTGGTTCATCAGAAGTTTCAAAGTGCTACGGGCGCCATAAAATTATTCTATTTAGAGTTAGCATGAGAGAAGACTGAACTTGTTTTCCTTTCTTTTAAGTCACATTCCAGAGTAAGTCATTCCTGCATCAGAATGGCAGGCAATTTTGCAGACAATGAATGAAGTACAATAACAGTGTGGTTTCGTCTTCCGCAGCCATTACCTCTCCGCGGTGCCAACAGAACAAAAACCAGCCATCGTGTTAAGCAAATTTGATGAAGGGATGCAGAATTCACACAAGAGCAGCAAAAGGTAACTTCATGATTGTCCTCAGATCCCAATCAAAGCTTAATAACAAAGCTCTCATTTGTTAGATGGAAGGTCCTAAGTAGCTTTGGTAAAGTCTACTGAAATGATTGTGCTCGCCCTTAACTGTGTGTGAGAGGAAGTTCCACCACAAACACAGTTCTGAGAACTCGGGGCCCTTTGTACCCACAGAGGGCACATTTACTCGAACAGGACCACAAAGGAAGCTCACTAATCTTCCCCTTCCTACTCGTAGGAAGAAGGCAATGACTAAAATGAGGCTGTGAGGGGTGGTCCAAAGAGCATGGGCTGCAGAACCAGAGAGACATGGCCTCTTCACCCCGGTTCTGGAATTTACAAGCATGGGGTCACGGGCAAACCCTAGCCAAAGCCACAGTCTCCCAGTCTGTCAGCTGCAGTGGGTGACACCTCAGCTATAAGGCGGCCGTGGGAGCCCCACACCAGCCCAGCAGCACCTGCTGCAAGCATTCCAGAAACTCTGGGTAGCTCCAAGTCTCTCAGGACTTAGATCAGAGCTTGGGACTAGAACTGCGATTCACACATAGACACACAGAAGGGATGAAGATTTCCTGCAGCATTCCACCAATAAACGATTCAAGGTTCTTTTCACAATTGTATTCCCTTCCCTGTCCAGTTTCTAAACTACAGATACGACCGTTCGGTGGCATGGCATTAATAGCTAGCATCACCGAAGCTGGAATAGTGTGTTCTATGTTTCACAGTGGAATTATAACAGCTGAAAGAAAAAAAATAGAAAAAAAGATACCTAAAATAGGTATAATAGCCAGAATGTTGGAATTCCATACTGACTTAAAGGGGGAGGGCAAGTTTTGGTTTGGTCATTATATGATATTTTTTCATTTATTTTTTTAGAGACAGGGGAAGGGAGAAAGAGAGGGAAGGAAACATGGATGTGAGAGAGGAGCACCTATCGGCAGCTGCCTCCTGTGTGCGCACCCTGACTGGGTCCAACCCTGCAATGCAGGCCTGTGCCCCGACCACAGACCACAGACCACAGACCACAGACGGCACGGGCAACCTTTCAGTAGCGACTTTTCAGTAGCAGGAGGACGTGCACCCAGCCTAGCCACACCAGCCAGGGCTGGTGACTATATTTTAAGTGAGGAGTAAATACAATTTGTCTCTTTACCAGGTGCCTAAAGAAAAGAGTTGAATTCACTCTCCAACTACAAGCAAATTTCACTTTTTACCATTGCCAGCTACTGTGACCTGGTAAATAGATTTTCTCCAAGGCTAAAACAGTGTAATTCTAGCACAGATCCAGCAGGTGGCAACACTGGATAACAAATCCACTCTCCAGCAACCCAAAGAGGGAAAAAAAAAAGCACTCAAATTATAAAGTCTGTAAATCAATATAAAATTATTATTGGGTCCAAAAGCCCTCAATTTTTCTATCACAATCATTTGCTCCTGCAATAATCACTATTAAATTGGGCAAATCTGAGGGAAGGAAACTGACACAGCAAAACAATTTGCTACTTTGCGGCGGCCCTGCTACTCCACAACCACCACACAGCTGCCAGGTTCTCGGAGGAGAGGACTGGGGAAGAGTCCTTGTTTCGGAAGGTACCCAACACTGTTACAAGGTTTTGTCGGTCGGAGCCGCGTTAAGAACATCAGTGTTACACACCATTTGTAATCTCCGATAACACTGATCGTGTTGGAGGCATCCGCCGCCCACGTGATGGGCTGCTGATTGAGGACCTGGCGCAGTGTGTAGCGGTGCTCCCCCGGGTCTTCGGCATTCATGAAGTATTCAAACACTCCAGTCTGATCAGCAAAATTCGGAGCTTCGCTGAAAAACGGGTAATCTGTTCAGAACACAATAAATCCTCTGTTTAATATCAAACCCTTACAGACTATTTTCTCTCTGAGATTTTATGGTACATTTGAAGACACTGCTGAAAAGTTTTAAACAAGGAAATGAAACTTATAGCCAACGTTTAGGGTTTAGGTGAATAAACCCTAAACGTGATCAAATGTATTAAAGGTGGTTTGCAAAGTTTCGTGCTGGAGATTTCTCCCTGGACCAGTTGAAGTTGATAGCAATCAAATTGAGACATTAATTGAGAAAAATCAATGTTATACCACAGAGGAAATGGCCAACATACTCAAAATATCCAAATCAAGCATTGAAAATCATTTGCACCAGCTTGGTTATGTTAATTGCTTTGATGTTTGCGTTCTACATAAATTAAGTGGGGGAAAAAAAAAAAAGAACCTCTTGACCATATTTCTGCATGCGATTCCCTACTTAAACGTAAGGAAAATGTTCCATTTTTAAAACAAATTGTGATGGGCCATGAAAAGTGGAGATACTTTACAACGACGTGGAGCCGAAGAGATTGTAGGGCAAGCGGAATGAACCACCACCAACCACACCAAAGGCAGGTCTTCATCCAAAGACGGTGATGCTGTGTATGGCGGGGGGCGGGGGGGGGGACTGGGAGGGAGTCCTCTATAGGAGGAGCTCCTTCCGGAAAACCAAATGATTAATTCCAATAAGCACTGCTCCCAATTAGACCAACTGAAAGCAGCACTCAATAAATGGCATCTGGAATTAGTCAACAGAAAAGACATAACCTTCCATCAGGATAACGCTAAATCGTATGTTACTCTGATGACCAAGTAAAAACTGTTAACAGCTTGGCTGGGAAGTTGCAATTTATCTGCCATATTCACCAGACATTGCACCTTCAGATTTCCATTTATTTCGGTCTTTACAAAATTCTCTTACGGGAAAAAGTTTCTCTTCCCTGGAAGAGTGCAAAAGGCACCTGGAACAGTTCTTTGCTCAAAAAGACAAAAAGTCTTAGGAAGATGGAACTATCAAGCTATCCGAAGGATGGCACAAGGTAGTGGGACAACATGGGTGAATGTGTTGTTCAGTAAAGTTATTGGTGAAAATGCATCTTTTATTTTTACTTTAAACCTGAATGAACCTTTCGGCCAACCCTGTATTTTTGTTAATTCTAACATCTGTCAGATGAGGTTCTGCATCAGTGGTCACAGTCATCAGCTGAGGGAACATTAGAAAAGGCTTACTATGTGCCAAACACAGAATTTGGAAATTACAATTTTTCTTGTATTTCCAAAATGGAACAAAAACCAGTTTGAGCCTAAGCTATCAACCTCTCCTTAGTTTTAGTACATGAAATTGCAGTCTTACAATGAGGAAGGCTCTAGAGAGTAATTTTAGTCATAATATCCTACAGCCATTTCTCACTTGACGATTTTCCAAGTACTTTCACATTCACCACATCCTTTGAGATATTCAGAACCCAAGAGAGTTCTGAGGCCTGGCCTACAGTTTTCAACTTCAGTTTTTAGTTTACTTTGCAGCCAGTGAAGCATCTCAGTCTCCGGCCACAGAACACGTGGTGTTGGTGTCGGCGGTGCTTCGGTCTCACTGACGAGGCCGTCTCCCACAGAGCCCTGACTGACTGCTGCCAGCGCAGGACTGGGCTGCAGACTGCCCAGATACTTGAGGTCATTTCAGAGAGGGGCAAGAAAACAGCACCAGGCCCCCATGTCGAGGGAGGGTCCCTGATGTCTGTGCTACTCAAACCGCAGTCCAAAGGGCCTTGTACTCCAGTCAACCAGGGACCCTTTCCTGGGAAAGAAGCTGAGACCCAGGGGCAGTGACCACAGAGCAAGGTGACAGGAGTCTCCATCCACAGTGGCACTGGCCCTGCAGCAACAGGGGGCCTGAGTTTCTCTCTCAACACCGGTCTCCTCCCCACTTCTTCCCTACAGCTACAGACCGTAGGAGCAGAGGACAGAGCCACCTGACCTTGTCCATGAGGTCCACAATGCCATTGAAGGTTTCCTAAATCCCCTATAATCAAAAGCTCTTCTAACAGCGTCAGGACAGATCTTTCCAGAAAACCTAGAGAGCACACACCTAAAACTCCCAGGCACACCAGAGGGTGGATAACGAGTGGATAACGGGTGGATTACCCAAGGACAGCACAACTGCCCACAAGCACTCCGTCCACCGATACTGTAGGAGGACACACACCAAGGTGTCTTTAATTCCACAAAAAAGGACAATGGCTTTCATGAGATATGGATAACAGGGCAGTAGCAGTGTTACAAATCTTTAGTTTCACCAAAAACAAGTCAGAATTCTGACTTTCACCCTGACAACGACCTCGACATTTTTGCTGGCCCTGCAACACACAGGGTCCTCCAGTTAAGAGGCACCTTGCACCTGGCTGGCGTAGCTCAGTGGATTGAGCGCGGGCTGCGAACCAAAGTGTCGCAGGTTCGATTCCCAGCCAGGGTACATGCCTAGGTTGCAGGCCATAACCCCTAGCAACCGCACATTGATGTTTCTCTCTCTCTCTCTCTTTATCTCCCTCCCTTCCCTCTCTAAAAAATAAATAAATATAATCTTTAAAAAATTCTCTTGATTCTTAAAAAAAAAAAGAGGCACCTTGCACTAGCATGAAAAGGAGGTCTCAGTGAGACATTCAGAGATTTGAGTGTACTAAGTGAAGGTACTTTTCACAGCCACTCCACCATGCACCGGTCAGACAGGAAGAATCTCTCCACTGCTGCTAAAAACGGAAGCCCAGTGAATGCAGCGAAGGACGCTTACCGACATCGAAGTCATCCTTGTAGACACTCGGGAAGGGCTGGGACTTGGGAGGCGGCGGGTAGCTGCCTTTGCTGCCCGTGGTGAGCGTGGTGAGCGTGAAGACCTCGTCCTCTTGCAGCTCCAGTGTGAAACTGCCATTGCTGTTGAGGAGCTGAAACCGAAACATCATGGTCAAGGCCAGGGGCTTTGGTCCATCTCATCTGGGCAAGATAGCTGTTTTAAACATAAGCTATAGGATAAGCCAAACTCATTTCTGTTAGAACTTCCTAACCGCTTGTAAAAGACACTCCATATCAAGGCCCTCAGAAAAAAAAATTTAAGTTATTTTGAAGACTGTGTAAGATTATACCTTATAGAAAGCATTTTTAAAAGAGTTTCACTAATTGGAGAGAGACTAGATGATCCCAAATAGACTTCTATTAGTCTATTCTTCTCCACTAGACTGTAAGCTCCTTAAAGCTCATATATATTCAATGCACACAACTAAAAGGTCTTATTTACTTTTTTGGAGTCTACTGATTTTTTACTAACGTAGGAAAATCCATAAAATATCACTGTTGACTCAGGTGTTCGTCATGGAAAACCTTTTACTATTAAAAAAAAAGTCCAGTTCATTGTATGTTCGATATATATTTAAATTACCAAGTTAGGTTTACATTACATTTACAATCTTGGCGATTGTGACTTAATCTCTTTAAACCATCATCTCCTCATCTATAAAATCAGAAAAAAATATACGTACTCCACAGGGCTGTGATAATGATTAAATGAGATAGTATGTCTAAAATGCCCTTGGCCCAGAGTGTGAGACACACCTCCTGTCACACCTGTTCTGTGCTAAATGCAGGCCTCTGCAGGCACCACCACCTTTGGCATGGCTAACGTAGGCATTCGACGTATGCCTATTCTTAATGAAATTTGAGCAGCTTTTTTTTCCTACTTTGAACTAAAGGGGAATCGTATCATATCCTTGCTTTAATAATAAATTGTTGGTCAGATCCATAAAATACCTAATGCCATATTCTGGCTCAGAAATAACCCCAAATGATATTATTTTTCCTATGGGGAAAATCAATTTCATTGTGCTATTTCTAGCAATTTGTTGTACAAAACATAGACACTGTTCTTTTTCTGGAATTTAATATTTAATGAGCATTCGATCATTGAGAGTGACTAGTGCACTCACAGGATATAAATAATTATCAGAAAAAAAAGAGGCAGATTTGTGTCAGTTAGCTCAAGTGTTGTGCTTGCTTTGGCCAATCCATTCTTTGAAATATTTCATGAGAAACTACCATGTACTCAGACCTGTAACAGGCACCTGGGATAAAAATCTAACCAGGGCACAGATTCATGCTCAAGGTGGCCAGTGTCGTGGGAAAGTGTTCGACTAGATAAGCACGTACTCTAAGGTGACTATGAGCTAAGGCCGGTGGGAAAAGCCCCAGAGGAAGTGACACTTGGGTGAGTCTTGAAGGGTGACAAAGATACGTGGAGCGCCTTCTAGAAGGAAGAAAAGGTGTGGGCAACATCCCAGTAGCAACTAAATCAGCATGCCACGCTCTGGAAAATGCAGTTCAGCCTGTGAGGCTCCTTTGGTAGGGTATATGCACCTAAAGGAGGGCAGTCTTTTCCCTCTGGAGGTGATAGATAACAAGGGTCACGGGCTGCGCTAAGGGACACGAACTTCTAGCAGAAATCACTGAGGCACTCTGGGCAAGAGATTAACAGAAATCAGGTCTGCCCTTTAGACACATCACCCTGGCAACAGTGTTGGGGGCAGGGGGACCTGGAGACTAATGGCTGGAAAATGGGAGTGGGTCTCCAAAACCCTGGAATGTGATGATGGGGAACTGAAACACGCAATAGCCATGGTAACGAAATGAGGAATGGGTACGAGACACACGTGGATGGCAGAATCGACTGTCCTCGAACGTTGGCGGTACATAAAGGGTGGGCAGGAACAGCAGTTTCAAACGCAACTTAAATTTCTGGCTGGGGCAGTCAAGTGATGGCAGTTACCATTCACCAAGACAAACTAAACCCTCCCCCCAAAACAAGCACACCTATAAGACACACTCTGCTGTGAAGAGTATTTCTAATTTTAAAAAATGGTTGGGGACGACTTTCTCTCTCTTATGTTTCAGCCATAAAATCTATTATAAAATTAAAATTTCTTCATTCATAAATCAAACTTCTGTTCCCTTTGTACTGTTTGCAATGCTTAAAATATAGGAATTTCTTTTAAGACTACCCATAGAGAGTCCAGTTGTTTAAAAAGAAATCTGTCGGATGATTTTCCAAGCTTGCTGTACCACACTTGCAGCTCCGGTATCTCACTCTGCGGAGAAAACACACAGAAAAGCCCAGGTGAGTGGTCCGCTGCACGCTCCTGGGGGGTCCACAAAATCAGCACCACCAGGAAGGAACCAGTGTCACTGTGCACTCCTCGTCTATTTACCGAGAGGCCCGCCTGAAATTTTAAACAGCAGCATTCTGGAAGCAGAAAGGCATTACTCAAGCAAATATTTTCTTTCCCATAAACCTACAGACTTTTGGCAAATGTTTAACGATTTTAGTGCCTGGCTTCAAAAATACTCATGACTGTACCTATGTGGAAAGCTTTTAAAGAATTCTCTGGTATTAAAAAACAATTCTTATGTCATCAGTAGTCAGAAAAGGAGCTGTATTTTCTGTATTCAAATCTAAGAATAGGTAGAAATGGCTAGAATCTGGTGTGTCTTTTTTTTTTTTTTTTTTACAGAGCACTGTAAAGATCAATGCATGGAAGTTCCCTAGACTACACAATGGATGCTGCTGGAAACAAGAACAATTTTGTTGCAAGTGACTTTTGTTTGGTGTGCTTCAAAGCCACACACAGTCTGACCTCCCAGTGGCGTCTGTAGCATTTAATTAAAACCAGTCAGCAGCTGCGAACCAAAGTGTCGCAGGTTCAATTCCCAGTCAGGGCACATGCCTGGGTTGCAGGCCACGGCCCCCAGCAACCGCACATTGATGTTTCTCTCTTTCTCTCTTTCTCCCTCCCTTCCCTCTCTAAAAATAGATAAATAAAATCTTTAAAAAAAAACAGTCAGCAGATAGAAGAAACCACCTCATTAATTCCATTCATCTGCAAACTCTTAATAACTGTAATATACAACTTCATTTAAGAACTACTAGCCTGTGATAAAATACACACATTGTCAAGATCAAAACCAGAATAGAAGTCCCACTGGTGTACTCACAAAAGAGCCCCGGAGAACGAAGGTGGCGAACTGGTGCGACACGCTGAAGTAAGGAAGCAGGGGCCGTATGCACTTAGAATGTCTGTGGCTCTGCGGAGAAACGAAAATCACATAAATCATCCAAAAGATGCACAAGCCACCTTAGGAAAAAACCTTAAACATTTAAGGTCCCAAGATTAACATAAATTGTGCATATTACGTGACAGCTATGGATTTCTTTCAAATGTTTAAAGACTTTTTTCTTTTTTTTATTGTTGCTCAAATACAGTTGTCTCCATTTTCTCCCCACCACTTCCGCCCACCCCAGCCATCCCCACCTCCCCCCTCAATCCTACCCGACCTTTGGCTCTGTCCATGTGCCTTTTATACATGTTCCTTGTAAAGACTTTTTTAATAAAAGATTTACTGCATGTGCTTGCCTATGACCAGTCAACGGAAAGCTCACTGGCATTTTGACTGAGTCAAACTTTGAATTCATAGCTAAATTCCAGTCATTTTATAGCACAAATGTTAATTTTTATGTGATTATCTTCTAAGTAAAATATATCAAAAGAGCAAATGCTTGGGATGTTTTTACTGAAAAGGCATCTCATCTAAATATAACCAACCTTCAAATACATAACTAAGGTCAGCTAAATACATATAACAAATAATTCTCCCAGGACCAGGACTCTAGTTTTTACTAGAGTCACCACTATGGGCTGGAGTCAGACAAAGTATGAGACATCGTCCCTCCTTGAGGGTATTCAACAATCACAGAGCACTTGCAGTACAAGATTCTGGGCCAGGCCGTGTGGACAATATAAAATTACAATTATTATTACAGATTCCAGTACCCTCAGTAATGGACACACAACTAGACAGAAAACCAACAAGGAGACAGGCAATTTGCCTGGATCGACATCGACAGGTCACGTCATCCAGCAGCCGCAGAGGGCTTTGTTTACCAGGGCAGGCCACAGGCTCAAAAAAGTGCATGTTTACCAGGGTAGACCACAGGCTTAGCAGTAAAAGAGGTCTTCATAAGTTCAGAAAGATTCAAGTCACACAAAGTCTGCTCTCTACAACAGAATTAAATCAGAAAAGAATAACAGAAAATCCTCTGGAAAAATTCTGAAGTATTTAAAAACAAAATAACAAATTTCCAAATGATCCATGGCTCCAAAGAAAATAAAAAATAAAAAGGGAAATTAGAAAAGAAAATTGAACCCTATGAAAATAAAAACAGCATATCAGGGTGTGTGGGCTGCACTGAAGTCGTACTTAGGAGAAAGTTTACAGCACTATAAGTGCCTAGATCAGAAAGGAAGAAAGAATTGGAGACTTCAGCTTCCACCTGAAGACACTAGGAAAAGAGGAACAAAGCAAGCTAAAGAAAGAAAATAATAAAAATCAAAGGAGAAATCAGTTAGACAAAATGCAGAAAAACAAGAAAGGATAATCAAGAAACCAAAAGTTCATTCTTTGAGAAGATCAATAAAACTGATAAACTTCAAAATGTTAAATACAGAGTTACCAAGGGACTCAGTAATTCCACTCTTACATGTACTCAAGAGGAATGAAAGCACGTGTCCAGAGAAAAAATTACACACAAGTATTATCTCAGCATTATTCAAAATGCCCACAAGTTAGAAACAACCCAAATGTCCATCAGCTGAAAGTGAACAAACAAAATGTACTATATTCATACAATGAAATAGTATACAGACATAAAAACAATTAAGTAGAAATACAAAGCCATCAAAACATTAAGTGAAGGAAGCCAGACACAAAAATCCACAGACGGTGTGATTTAATTTGTCTGAAGTATCAAGAACAGGCAAACCCACGGAGATAAAAAGCAAAGAGGTGGCTGCCAGGGGACGAGGGAGCAACTGCCAATGAGCGAGTGTGCGGCTACTCTTCGGAGCGGTGAAAACGTTCTGGAATTAGACAGTCGTCCAACTCCGTGAACAAACTAAAAAGCACTGAATTGTATCCTTGAAAGGGTAAATTCTGTAGTATGTGAATTAATTTTCAATTTAAAATTCAATATAACTCATCATTTTAGTAAACAGCAAAAAATAAATAGAAACAATACAATGTTCCCAATAAATGCAGAAAAACATGTGACAAAACCCAACATCCATTCCATATTTTTAAAAAATGCTAGAAATAGACGGTAACTTCAATCTCATAAAGGGCATGCAAGGAAGACATCATACTTAATGGCAAATGACTAAATGCTTTTCTCCCAAGATCAAGGACAAGACAGGCATGTCTGCTGTCACTGCTTCCTTTCCACACTGTATCGGAGATTGTAGCCAGTCCAATCAGGCAAGAATAAGAAATTAAAGATTGCCGGATTAGAAAGCAAGATGCAAAATTACTTTAATTTTCAGGTCATTTGCAAAGAAAATCCAATGGAATCTATGAAAAAGCTACTAAAGCTATATGTGAGTTTGGCAAGGTTGCAAAAAAATAAGATCATTATACATAAACTTATATTACTATATACTAGCTACTAACAGAATTAAAATTTTCAAAAATATTATTTATAATAGAATTGAAATAGTAAAATACTTAGCCAAAATTTGGACAAAAGAGATGAAAAACCTGCACATGGAAAACTACAAAATATTGTTGAAAATTTTAAAGAAAACCTAAATAAATTTGAGGATAAGTCAAGTTAATGGGTTGAAAGATACTGTTGTTCAGACATCAATTCTCTCAAATTGATCTATAGATTCAAGGCAATCCAATCAAAAGCTGAGCAGGTCTATTTTTTAAAAGATATTAAGGAGCTGTTCTGAAATGCACACGGAAATGCAAATTACCTACACTAGCCAAAACAGCTACAAAAAGAACAAAGTGGGAGGAATAAGACTACCTATTCCCAGGAATTGTATACGGGGGTGGGCAAAAGGAGGTTTATCGTTCTAATAGTGTAAACCTATTATATGTATAATCTTCAAAAGCTGGTTTATAAAAAGCGATTGAATCCCCCCAAATAAACACACAGAATTACCATAGTTTCAACGATGATGGTGAGGTTACCTAAGCCGTCCGTCAGAGCTACGTAGCTTCCTCCTTTTTCCAAATGGCCAACTGTCTTCAGGTAATACCAACCTGGTTGAGTAAACTGAGTGGTGTGAGCTACACAGAAAAGCGGAGAAAGACCCACATAAGATAAAAATGGTAATTAACGGGTACACACAAAAACTCTGTCTACTGATTTGTGTCTGATTGAGTCTCACAAGCTCTTTTTATTTTGGAAGAAACTACTTGCCAATCAATCCCATGTTCCAACTTTGAAATAACTAGTCCAGTTAAATGGTGCAACTGTGGGAAGATTCTTACAATGACTAGTAAAAATAAATGAACCACACTGTTAGTTCAAGAATATTGATTGTATTTTACCAAGAGGAAAATAAAGTTATCTCCTCCCAACCTTTACTCATTTCTATTTAACCTATCCTAGTATAATTACAAACATAAGGTTAAAAAGTTAATAATGCATTTCAAAAACTAAGTGTATGGTTTCAAACAAGTTTATTTCCCACAATACATATTTATTGGGCACTTCCAAAGCTGGCTCTGAAAATATACTAAGCAATACTCTATATCCCAACCCCACACCCAAAAAAAGCAATTCCAACCAGGACATATCCCAAGGTGGCATGATGATTATTCTCATTTATTCAAGTTACTTGAGAAACAGCAGTGCAGGAAGGACACCCCGACTCTCCTCTCTATCCACCCAAAAGCAGGAGATAAACCCCCCAGATCACAGGTACCCTCCCTGCACCAGGAGGCGGAGAGACCTCCTTATTGCCAGTAATAGGAAATCCAGAGCAGACAAAGCTGTGTAAGCAAACTGCTTAGCACCCAAGCCTATTCTGTTGTCTTGTCAGTTCTTCACAAACTTAGTTTCTTTGTCTAAAAGTTTTATCAGCACTGCTTTGGTCACTTCATAGGTCCCGTATCTATGACACCTCCTGATGTACAAACTTAAATTTGTTTTTTTTTTCCTCCTGTTAATCTGTCTTGTGGCTGTTTAATTACTGGACAGCCAAGAGAACCAAGAAAACTAGAAGAAAATTTCCGCTCTTCCCGACAATCCTTTCTCAGTAGTTTCTGCTTTGTCTCAGGAATGTAGGGGGTGAGGGCCGGTCTGTGAGCACACCTGTTATCCAGATGGGAGACTCCACCGCGTAGTGCCCGCTCCACGGCTCCTGGGCGGTCATCAGCCCACTGCGCCCGTACGGCAACTGCTCGTAGTAACTAGCCACCAAGTTCCACGCGATTGTTCTAAACGATTTGTTTGATCAAAGAGAGACACCAAAACAGTCTGTGATAAAAATGTCAATGTCTAGGCCTACACAGCAAAAAGACCTACAGCTAATTTATATAAAAATACGTAAATAACTGGAAGATGACCACAAAACAAGAACACGTAAGTTGACTAAGTTCATTCACATTTTGAAAAATCCAGTGTTGGATGCATCTAAATGTTGTTAACGGTGAATCCCATGATAAACAACTACGAATGCATACGAGGTGTACAATTTCTACCGAGTAATGGTGTGGCCAGAAGATGGACCCTGCCCGGGCAGCAGCAGACACGTCGCCAGTGTGAGTCAAGCACAGACAGAGGCTGTATCCATACCTGCTTTCCTGGGATAGTCAGCCTTCTCCGTGCCCCCGGTTCACGATATAACTGTATGCAGTTCTGTGCGACTGCAGAGTTTTAACATTGAGACTGACTGCCTGGCTTCACATCATGGTTCTACCACTTAACCTCTCTGGGCCTCAGTTTCCTCACCTGCAAAATGAGGATAAGACCTGTGCCCAGTCCATGTGACTGCTGTGAGAATTAAGTGTGCTGCTGTGTGCGAGGGGTGCAGAACAAGGGCCGGGCTGCGGCACTGCTATGATCTGCTTCACCTACAAGGACTACTGAGGGCAGCTCACTGGTCTGGATTTTGGTCCATGCTTTCAGATGCCCACAGGAGGTGCTGACCCCCTATAATCTGTGATTCCCCTAGAATCTCTGGTGCTAAGGGAAATCCAAGGGCAAAAGGGAAGCTCGGGATCCTGGACCCCAGTACAGAGCTTTTAAAAAAGAAAAAATAAAAAGAGCTTACCCATAGGATTTTCTTTTTCTTATCAAGTCCTCAACCATAGTAAAAGGACAGACTGACATTCTTAGAAAGTCAAAGCCTTCTAATTCTGTCAACACAAAGCAGAAATAATCATCCCAATATTCAAAAATCCTTACTACCAGTGAAAATCTTAAGCGCTCTCGTGATTTTATAAGATGCACGGCATCTCCTCTGGCTAATGCTAGAAACACAGGCAAACAATCTGGAGGGTACTTTGTAATCTACACAAATACATTTAAAGCCGATAGACTTCCCCCCTAGACACTGGTTCCATTTCCAAGGATGCACCCTGAGGGGGAGGAAATAACTGTCGATGTCTATACAGATTTCTACATGCAACCGATCCCTTCCGTGTGTGCTAAGCTGTTCACTAAACTAGGAAGAAACAACACCCATTCCTCGGAAGAAGAGAATATTCGATGAGGCATAATATATTTTCTGCAACAGAGTTTCCCACATTTGCGTGCACCAGGATCACCTGGGCACCGACCAGCCCACCAGAGCCCCAGGAGCCAGGGCTGGAGATTCAGGCTCAGCAGGTCTGGGCAGCTGCCAAGGGGTCAGTCAGTGCAAGCACGTGTTTGGTGCTGCTCAAAACGAGGCAAGTCTGGGAAATTCCGCCTTGTGTAACATAACATATATCAACATTTAAATGATGGAGTCAAAGTGTACTTAATTAAACATGAGAAGAAGTTCATAATGCCTTGTTAAGTGAAAAGCTTATTTACTGAACATTATACAGTATGGGCTCCCTTCTGCATTCAAAGTTTGCATATATAAGTGGGAAGCAAAATGTTTAAGAACAGTTAACTTCTGGATGGCAGACACATGAGTGATTCTGTTTCCTACTTTGCATTTATATGCAGTTCCTGAGCTCTCTGCAATGAGCAGGCATGCCCACTAATAACACCAAATTAAGTTATTAGAACCAACGGCTCCAGAGAAGCATCTTTTCTTCCAAAGAGAGAAGGGGAAGAACAAAGAAGGCTGTCAGAATAGCGTGCCAGCTCACATTACCATCACAAAAGCATGTATTGGCTTGCTTTTGTTCTATTTGTTTTTGTTTTAGAAAGCTAAATTGAATCTAATTACAATCAAAGCTTCTCAAAGCATTTCAGAAAAGCCTCCCTGAGAAGGAAAGAACAGAGCTGTGTTCTCTCTTCAGAACCTCTGTTTTGGGGACAGTCGTGCAAATTAAGCGAAGCTGCCAGGAGCTTTGGGAAGTGCAGAGTCCACAAGACAACGTGCCTCGTCTCTGCAAAAGGTCACTGCCATAAACAGTGAGGAGGGAAGAAACCATTCTAAACTAAAAGGGGTTTCAGGGTCATAACATCTAAATGCAGTGCTTGGTGCTTGAATGGCTCTTATTCTTTTTTAAAAAGCTATAAATGACATTTTTGGAGACAATTAGGAAAACTTGAATGTAGACTAGGTATTAGAAATATTTTTTAAATGTTCTTAGACTCTTATGTATCGAAATGATACTGTGATCATGTAGAAAAATATCCTTCTTTTTGGAGATACACGCTAAAATATTTAGGGGTGTCATGATAGCTGTAAATTTACTTTATAAATATATATGTGTATATATCTGTGTGCATATACACCTATATATACAGCTTGTTAAAAATCATAAAAATACTTAAATTTTACTATATATGAATTATATGTCAATAAGCCTGACTTTATTTAATACAGACTACATTCAAATATAGAAAAATAAATAGATGTAGCCTAAATACAGATACAGTTATAGATGAAGCTATAAGTAAGGCACAATGCGTATAATCACTGAATCCAGTGATTCAGTGAGAATTCAGTTTGTGAGAATATGGAAGTCCATTGCACATTTTTCTACTTCCTGTGCTTTAGAAAATTTTCAAGGTTAAAAACCTTTCAAAGTTGTCCATAACTTACGAAGTCATGTAGCCATTGATGTAGTTCTGATTCAATATGCGACCCCAGCAGCCAGCACCCACTTCGTTGTTGAAAGTGCTAAAATCTTCAGATGACCACAGCTTCTTCTTGGTCAGCTTTGCATTCTTCACTGTGTGGGTCCCAGGATAATGAGCCCTGGGAAAGAAAGGGAGGGAGGGAACGGGAAAAGGGTGAAATGTGGCACGTACAACCACTTGCTGAGTAAATAAAAATACACGTCTTCTCCAACACGTTCTATTTTCAAACAATGGGCAGCTACCAGGTAGATGTCACACTGACTGTAAGCACCTGCTTCCAAACCTTGTGTCTCGGGATGCTCTTAAGATGAGACAGGCCTACAACCACACAGTAAATGGGAAGATGAAGGAGAAATGTGTTTCTGGAAACCATAAAGTCTATGGAAGCATGCTGACAGGTGGAGGTAGCACAGGAGGCCGCAGCCCAGAGCCCTGCAGGGGAGAAATAAGGTGCAACAGGATTCAGACCTCCCAGGGGAAGCACCGAGTTTGGGACGCGAGGAAGGAAGGAATAAGAAGGAAGCAAAAAACAAGACTCATGAATGTATTATACAGAGTAGTGCTGCCTCCCTGGCTCCTGCCCTTAGTAGACAGAGAAAGCTTGGCATTGACATCCCAACAAGAACAACAACAAAAAAGAACAATACACATCCACACAGAGTCCTTTCTTGAATAACCACCTTGGGAAAACTACAAGTTATAACCCCAGAGCAGCGCTGGCTCTCGGCCTGGGCGATGTTGCTAGGCAGTGGAGGCAGGGTTTCCTGCCGGTTGCCAGGTGGGGCATCCAGGGAGCAGAGGCCCCAGACGCCGAGAAACACCCAGCAAGGCCCAGGGAGGTCCCCACCACAAAGGATTATCCAGTGAACTGTCACAACTGCAAAGGTTGAGAAACCCTGCCCCCGGGGAATGAACACTTCCCTTATTCTAGCATTTGACAGGAGTCAGGCCGCTGAAGCGGAAATGTATGTTTATCATTCCAAGAGTAAAATACTGCCATGATGACTGCGGAAACTATTGATGATTGAATAAAAACAATTAAGAAATTTCAAATGCACCCTGGCTGGCGTAGCTCAGTGGATTGAGCGCAGGCTGGGAACCAAAATGTCCCAGGTTCGATTCCCAGCCAGGGTACATTCCTGGGTTGCAGGCCATGACCCCCAGCAACCGCACATTGATGTTTCTCTCTCTCTCTCTCTCTCTCTCTCTCTCTCTCTCTCTCTCTCTCCCCCCTCCCTTCCCTCCCTAAAAATAAATAAATAAAATCTTTAAAAAAAAAAAGAAAAATTTCAAATGCAAAACAGAACACAGACTGACAGTTAATATAGTAATAAGAGAGCACATTAGCTGAATAACTTTGGGGACATGAGTATGCTTTTTAGTCCAACGATTATTTATCAAAAAATGTAATATTAACACAAACATGTAATAAAGATTGGATTATATCTTTGTAGTCTGGTGCAGTAGCATTCATTACATTAAAAGAATGATTGTGAAGTCCTATTAGAGTTTGCAGTTATTTAATTCCATTTTGGTCATGAATCTTTCTGGAGAAAGTCCTATTTGGGAATTCATTATACCTAGTAAAGCTAGATTAGGGTACAACATCAATTTGGCATTTCAGGATGTCATGAGGAAAAAATATGGGGGTGGTGTGTATACATAAGTGTGTGTGTATGTGTGTGAATGAATGAATGAAAGAATGAATGAATAAATAAATAAATAAAATAAGGTCTGCTTGGGAAAAGTCCAGCCATTGTTAATACAAAGAGAACAGTTTGCAACATCAGAGTAACCCGGCAGCCAAGGAGAATGGACTGGAATATGCATGCGTGAACAATGATGACTTCTCTCACTCATGCATCTCATCTGCTGCGGAGTTTTTTGGCAAAACATCAAATCACCCAGGTGACTCAGCCCCTCTACAGCCCATATTTGGTGCTCTGCGACTTCTGGCTTTTTCCAAAACTAAAATCACCTTTGAAAGGGAAGAGATTTCAGACCACAGGGGAAATTCAAGAAAATACAGAGGGGCAGCTGATGGCAATTGGGAGAACTGTGTGAGGTCCCAAGGTGCCCCCTTTGAAGGGGACTGAGGTGTCATTGTCCTGTGTACAATGGCTCTTGTATCTTGTATCTTCTTCAGTAAATGTCTCTGTTTTTCATAGTACATGGCTGGATACTTTCTGCACAGACCTCATATATGCGTGTGTGTGTGTGTGTATATATATATATATATATATATATATATATAATAGAGAATGTAAAAAGAAACATTTAAGAAAAGTGAGGTTCCACCATGATTTTTTGAGTCACTAACCTCAGGTGCAAACAGGCATCTTTCAGTACTGTAAATACAACCTACAGAGACCACAAGAGTATGCTAGCACCTGCCAGGGTTAAGAAATTATTGTCTCGGCACTATAATGCCTAATGTGGAAAATGACTACTGATATTTATAATAATATTAATTTAATTTTTTTAAACTTCATTCTACGATCATGATATTCAGCCCCAGACAAAAGCCAAAGGTATGGTCAGTGTGTCTCTGGTCAAAAGATACTTGTATAAAAAAATAAAGCCTGGGAAGTCCATGCCATTATGCTACACTGAACTTTAGATGTTAGGATTATGAGTAAATTCTAACTCTACACTTACAGTTTTTCCATTTTCCAAATTTTCTCTAATGCGTGTGCAGTATTTTTATAATCTGAAAAAGTATCTCTTTTAAAATTATAGAAATAGTTGTTATATCCCCCATTCAGAAAATAATAGGACTGTTATATTGCATTTAAACCTGACTGATTAAATAATCTGAGCAAAGAAGGACAGAACTAACACAGGGTCTCGCCTAATATCCAGATCCATTGCTAATTCCAACAAAATGTGAAGGTTCTTATGAATATAATTGTGTAAATGCATGTCCTGTATTTTGCCATGTATAACACATTTGTATGTATAATGTGCACCCATTTTTGGCCCAAACTTTCAGGAAAAAAAATCCTTCATTTTAGTTTTTTAATTCAATTTTTTATTTATTTATACTTAGAAACAAAACCAATTATCATATTCCATACTTTGCATATGGATATGGTATTACTTTGCAAATGGATATCATAATTGCTTTCTAGAGTTATACTTTTAATACATAAACATAAATAAAAGAATCAAAAACATTTATATAGATATGGACTTAGTACTATCTATATATAATGTACACCCTTATATTTCCCTCAAAAATTTGGGAAAAACATGCCCATTATACATGGCAAAATATGGTAACTAGGCAAAACATCTACCAACTCACAGCATGACATGGCCGTGGGTTCATCCTTAGGGAGACTGAGTGGTGGGAACACGGATATTCATTGTATTATTCTGCCTACGTTTGTGTATGTTTAAAATTCTTCGTTGAAAAAGCTATTAAACCAAGCAGAGCCTTCACCCATGAATGAGGAACAAATTCCACACATACATGTACTTTGTTTTATGTATTGTGTATTGTCATGACAGATAAAATTAAAATCCACTTTTAAAAATAATTGCTGTGTGGGGGTTGGGGGTGGAATTGGAAGAAGGTGCAAAAGGTACAAAATTCCAGGTATAAGAGAAATAAGTACTGGGGATGTAATGTACCATGTAATGACTAGTTAATGCTGCTATATAATATATAAGGAGGTCATTAAGAGAGCAGGATCCTAAGAGCTCTCCATAAGAACCACTTTTTCTTTTTTCTTTATTGCAGCTATATGAGATGATAGATGTTAACTAAACCGATCGTGGTAATCATCTCACAATACATGTAAATCAAACCACCATTCTGTATAGCTTAGACTTACACAGTGATGTACGACAATTACTTCTCAATCAAACTGGAGAAAATAAATAAAACGGGAAAAATAACTACTACTGAAATGCAGTGAAGTGCAGGCCTAGAAGGCTGAAAGGCAGACTGGACTGAGGAGCAGGGTCAAGGCCGTACCACTAAGGAGACACGACAAACGTCATGGTCAGTGATCACACCGTGCCATGGACATAAGTGCTCATGACAGAACTCCCAACCACAGGAAGTCTGAGAGCTGGGAACTAACTTCATGACATTGCTTTTTATAACTCCTAAACTTTGAATACTATTCTGCCCCTTAATCTAAACAAAGCCATGTTTTATTACTGCAAACATTAACACAACTTTTAAAAAATACCAGTACCTTTCATGGTCAAAGAAAAATGCCAAATGCATACATTTCAAAGGAATGAAGTTTCAGTTATACTGGCCTTAGTTAAGTAAACACCAGAAAGCTACTTGCTGAAAATATAACCAAATGGGGAGGAAAACACAAAAAGAAAGGCACAGTCAATAGTCGGAGCAAGCAACCAGAGACTCAGTTTCCAAAACGTTCCTTACCCTATGACATCAATGGCCTTCAAGAGCTCTGAGTCAAGCAGCATGGAAGCAGAAATGGGCTCCCAGAGGTTATCACTCGCGATGATTCTGACGTGCGGGAGACCTTGGTAGTTCAGCATTCTCCTTAAAACCTTTTGCAGAGAGAAACAGAACATGAGAAAGGCTACAGCGAGTGTTCAGCGGTTGAATTACAACCAACGTAGTTCAAGTCTCTTCAAAACTCCGCATCCTGGACAATAGTGTCTAAATTATTTCTTAGTAAAAATGTGCTTCCTTTGGAAAATAAAAGCATTATTATCAAGATAACCTACTTCATGGGAATGTAAAAAGAAAATAAACAAACCCATGAGGTCCAAATGCCCTAAAGGGATTTTTGCTCTACCTTCAAAATTGTGTTTAACCATAAAAATGTTGAGTGGGAGGGTGGAAAGTAGAAAACAAATCATAATAGTACTACACAGAAATAACTATTATTTTGGAATGTATTCTCTTTCAGGAAATTTCTTATACAGAGATAAAATAAAATTGGAATCATATAAACATACCATTTGGTAAAATGCTTTAAACTATCATTTTATTTTGAGTGTTTTCCAGTATCTCTAAATATTCTGCCATTACTGAATATATTAGTTCTCAATAATTTGTATCTTATAGAAATAAGAAACACTCCATTGTGACCCTCCAGTCTTTCACACATCTAGACAGGACAGATTTTAATAAACATCTACCTGTAGGACTGTCTACACAGGAAAATTAAAAGCGCCACACTAAATTCTACCCAGAAGCAAGTCAACAAAGCACAGAGTGCCTACTCCGGTGCCGGGCCCTGTCCAGGCACTCACTCATCCCGCCCCATCTACCACCCTCGGACCCTAGACGGCACTGTCCAGACACAATGTACAAACCACGTCTCTGAAAATCCACAGTAAATCTTCAATACAGCATAAATAGCAAAAATAAAAGAAACAACAGTCCCGTCACTTTTATATAAATCACTTGTTCATATTATATTAATCTCTACTCCTAAAAACAAATCCATACCGTTTCCAGGGACCATCCTACTACACTATATGGAATATATATTCATAAACTTATCGAACCTGAACACCTACATTCATCAGCCATTACTGAACTCTTTCAATAGGCATTTTAGCCAACAGGACACAGATTCCAATGAAACGTTACTACCAAATGGCAATTAAACATTAAAAGTTTTTATATCCTGAGACAATTTACTGCAGCTAAACTAAAGGTTCAGAGAAAAGGAAATGGTCTAAATTGTTTAAAATAGCAGTTTTCCAGACCAGATAAGTTGATTTAGAATGCAATGGAATTAGAATAGACTCATAATACACACACACACACACACACACATACACACACACACACACATATACAGACTCATAATATATATACATATATATGTATATGTATATATAATACACACACACACATATATACACACAGACTCATAATATATATACATATACATATATAAAGACTCATTATATATAAAATAAAATGCAGGGCTTATAGGAAATTACATATGCTTTAATCAGGAATATAAATATTATTAAGATTTTGCTCAAATTTTGTGTCACAACTAGCAAAACCAATAATTGTGCTATAAACAAATACTGTTCTTACTACTAATTTCCATGGAACCACTTATTAATTAACTATTAATAAGTAATTAATTATTAATTACTTATTAATAATTTAAAGACTAAAAGATTTTTAAGTTGTACAGACCTTGATATAATTGATGTCGAATGACCTCTCGTTCCAAATCTGCAAAACAAAAAGCCAAAAAGGTCTGAACTAAACGTTTCTAAGTGTCAGAAAATAGACATTATCATTAAATGCCATTTCTCTCGTCAACCCTCATATCACATGAAAGGCCATTTTTCTTACTTTATGGGAGGGTCTATTATTGAATGTGTTAATAATTATAAGACAACATAACTTTTAAAATTAAAATACTATTTTTAAAAAGATTAAAATATTTCCATGGTGTTGTCAAAAATTGTTTATTCCAGAGATTTCCAAAAGAGAAACAGTCAGCTTTCAACAGATACCGACCAGGCACTGTGTGCCGGGTGCTGCGCTGGCACCCGAGACCTGCAGATGGGGCGCTGCTGCAGCAGCTCCCAGAAGGTTCCCACAGACAAAGTGCTCCTGGGTGCACCACACACGTGGAGAAGCACAACCACGTGCTACATCACAAAAGGGAACTCTTTTTTTTTAAGATTTTATTTATTTATTTTTAGAGAGGGAATGGAGGGAGAAAGAGAGAGAGAGAGAAACATCAATGTGCAGTCACTGGGGGTCATGGCTTGCAACCCAGGCATGTGCCCTGACTGGGAATCGAACCTGCGACACTTTGGTTCGCAGCCCGCGCTCAATCCACTGAGCTACGCCAGCCAGGGCAGAACTCTTAATAAGAATAAGAGGGACACACACAAGTCTCTTGGGTTTAGAACCACGAAGCACAGGAATTCAGGGTTGAAAAGAAAACTTTCACGACTTCCATTCTGCAGCTGAGGACACCATTAATAGCAGAGATGGGCCTAGAGCCCAGGTGCTGTGACTCTTTTTACTCCAAGTGATACGGGAAAGAGCTTCTTATCAAAGAAGCCCCTCACCATGGCATGTGATTATCAAGAGTCTAAAAAAGATGTGAGTTACCCATTATTCACCAGAAAGAGTTTCTAAGTGTGGCTTTATCATAATTGAATACTACTAGACGCAAACCTATATTTAGTCTCACTATGGGTTAAAAATAGTTTAGCGTGTTGTCACACAAACTAGTTTTCAGTTATAATTTGGAGAAGGATAATAAGCACAGGTGTACACTTGCTCCTGGCTGACAGCCCTTGGCTCATCCTCACATCCTGTATCAACCCGTGATTCTGCGGTTCATCTGTTCCCGTGTCTACTCCTCCCACTGAACTCCGCAAGAGCTTATTCATGCTGGTATGTGTGGAACGTAATCGTCACAGTACCTGCAGCACAGCAGGAACTAAATAATTGCCTGTGGATTGCAAGAAAATTTTTACAGTCAGATTTGACACGTGGCACATTAATAAACAAAAGTGTATGGAGACCCCCTAGACGTGTGGCATCAGGCTCTGTGGGGTACAACGTAGTCTGAGACGTGCCTCCAACCTGCCAGCAGACCAGATAGAAAGACAAAATATCACGTTTTTCATGTTTTTAATCATTAAATAACAATTTAGGACAAGGGTAGGCAGATTTCTGCCAGCCTGCGAAATCTGGCACACCGCCTCTGTTTTTATAGCCTGAGAGCTATAAACGGTTTTTCCAGTTTTAAATGGTTGCATTTTAAATGGTTACACAATTACCTACATAAATATCCTTATCAATACCTTTTGACCTACAAAACCTAAATTTATTTATTGTCTGGTCCTTAAAGGAAGTGTGTCACCCCCCTGGTTTAGAGCAAGAGAAGAATCACAGAAGAAAATGAGATTAATCAGTGTTGTAACATACAGATTAACACAGTATTATTATAAGAACTAGAGAAAGTAGGGAAAGCTTTGAAAAAGGAGAATTTGAGTTTGGACGACACCCAAAACAAACATTGAAAAATAGTTCCAAAAGTGTAAACACTCAGTACATTTGTCCGCAGCGGAAAGAATACGGACGGGCAAAGAGGAGGAATTAGAGGGTTGCATGCAGTTGATTTATGTTATTATCAGACACCCATAGAACAACTTAGTCTCAAGACACAAAATGGTTAGTCAACAAACGGCCACTTTAAAAAATTACAAATAAGTGTGCCAAAGTTAAGCACGTGTTAGATGTATCACTAACCCCAATATAATCGATGTCCAAATCGTGATGATGCTTGGCGCCCACGATCCAGGTCACGACATAGTAGGCAGTCAGCTGCCGATTCACGTACGGCCAGTTGAAACCTTTTCCCAGCCATCCGGGGAAGGACCACGGCAACCCTGCAGAGGGGCAGAGGGGTGTGACAACGCTGGCACTCTTGAAAACCAAGCAAAAGAAACCAAACAGAATGTAGATAAAGAAAAAAAAACAATGCAGACCGGGCTAAAGGAAAGATCACACACCCTACGCAAATTCTCAAAATCCCTTCAACACTATAATCTCTTACTGATCCCTAGAACAGATGTGATAACTCCAAATGCTCTTTCGAGACAAAGAAATAAAAACAAACACCTCTCCCAAAGGTAACTTACCAATAGAAAGAAAGACATACAGTTTAACTGAACATCTCTACCACATACTAGAGCGGATGTTCAATATCCAACTTCTGTGTCCAAGCGCAAATCAAAGAGTTCTGAAAAGCTTATGCTTGACCACTCCTACAAGGTAAGTATCATACGATTTTCCCACTCAGTACTAAGGCTACTTAAAACATACAGTAGGGAATGAAATTCAGCAAAACTAGTTTGTCTTTATAGCAATATAAATGCCAATGACTCAACAGGGGAAATAAACATTCCCTTGTTAAATGATGTATATTAAATAATCCACATTGTTCAGATACCCCAATATTATTTTCAGTGAAAAAATGAGAATACTAGAAGCACTAATTACAATTCTAAATCCTAATTCTGTCACTGATACATTAAAATAAACTCAACAGTTAAGTTCCTTAACTGTTTATATGTCACCAACCTGGTTCACTATTAAAAAATTCAAAATCAAAATAACAAAATGTTTATTTTTCTAAACTCAGGAGGAATGTCTAACTGTATTTCCATAAGAAATGTGACATTAAAATAATGGAGCATTTTAAAACAAGGAAATGCCAAATACATTCCGAAGGTCCACCACGTGTCAGTCTTGGTTAGGACAGGGTTCCGCATGCCAGGTTTCCTACACTTGAACCAGAACTGACCTTGAAGGCAGCCCAATGGGCAAGTAAGCGCTGAAGTCAATGGTGCTTCTTACTGCTCCACACATTTCTGGAATCTCTTACAAAAGTCCACTTACAAGGAACACACTGACTCCTCAGTATTTAATTTAGGAAATTTATGCTTGTCCTTTAATGTAATTGTAGAAATCTCATAATCTCACTGAACCTAGCCTGAACATGCAAGCCTGTTTCAAAAAATCAAATTCACTTCAAATGACGGAAGCACGCCACCACTGTGCACGTGTGAAGCTTTTTACAAGTGCGCTCACTGCTGCAGGAGCACTGGGAAGTGAGCGCGGTCCCATCGGAGGGCCACTCACAATCCTGCCGCTGGGACCTGAGGTCCGCAGGGCAGGGGTCGCGGCTGCATCATTCCAACCCCACATCCCTGAGATTCAAAACAAACCAAACACCTTTTGTATGTGCTGCTTCTAGAAATGGGGACTACTACTATATAAAATACACAATTTTGCAAATAGTTGGAATAGATTACTGCATGTAATATACAATTTTATAAACAGGATTGCCCCTTGACAAATTTTGATGAGAAATTCTGATGAAGAAAGTAGTTTAGCAAAACACCACAATGGAATAGTTTATAAACCTAATTTTGCCATTTACTAATTATCTGACCTTAAGTCAGTGGCATAACCTCTCTAAGCCTCTCCTGCTTCTTCTGTAAAATGGGAAGAATAATGTCTTGCTCCAGAATTATTATAAAAATCAGAGATAATATATAAGGGCGAAAAAAGGACCGGGCCTGGCACGCGCTTGGCTACTGGTAACAAGCTGGTCATATTAATTACATTATTAGTACTTCAGTTTTAACAGAGCTTCCACATACATGATTCAGGAAAGTTAAAGGAAAACAGGCCGAATAAGTATGGCAAACTTCACTTCTTACCCATGAGTGTGATATTGGGGTTCCGCTTCTTGGCTTCCTTCATTAACCACCACTCATATCCTCGGAAATAATTCTCATCGAGCATGTAGTGCATGTGGGAGGGCTCAGTGCCATCTGAAAGGGAGAGAGCGAAAGAGAAAGGAAGCAATTCCATTATCAGTGCACCGTGGGTGGGACCACTCGCCCAACACACACGCACGCACACACACATACACGCACGCATCTCACAGAAGGAGTGTTCCAGTTCCGATCCCAAAGTGGGGCAAAGGAGAACAATCGCATAATGTAACTTGTGGATGGATGACAAAGCACAGTATCTCATCTGTTTTCATCCTCCTAAGCATCGTAAGCACCTTCCATTTCTACCATAAGCAGTGTTAACAGAAGTGTTAGCACCTCATATAACTGCAAATTCCTGGAACTACATTCCGCTGGGCTTTTGGTCTCTCTGGGGTTTTCAAGTCCCATATCCAACTTCGGATTCACATCGCCCCCAAGCCGGCTTCTCAGTCCCGGGTGTGAACCCCTGGGCTCGGAAGACCCAATTCTCACACTCCGTTCCTTTCAGCGTAAAGTAAACGCTAACACCACCACAGGGAGGTATGTGTTTAACAAAAATGACTTCCAAATCACTAACAGAAACATGAGTGCACAAACAACAGGCTAGAGTTCACTACAGTGGAATCTGACCTACGAATAATAAGCTGTAGAGTATTACTGAGAGAATTAAATTCCTTTTCTCCTTCCTGGAAACTATGGCCCATAAACCTTTAATCGACTACATGTACAGCACAAAGTCAATCAAAATGGTCATTGAAGAGTGAAGATTTGGTGGTTAAAAATAATTTTGTTTTGAAAAGAAAAAAGACCTATGTACCTGAAGTACTGCTGACTTACATTTTATCACCTATTTTATTTAAAACTAATAACACCTTACATCATTTATACAATATTAAAAGCTTTCTTAAACTTTTTAATACAATTTCAAACTATCCCTATATTCCCTCTAGTGAATATAGCTTTTAGAAAACTGTAGAGTTGTTTATCACTGACTACTTCAATTAAATAAACAATCTAAAGTCCAAATGCTATTTCTGATGGGAGAAAATGCATACTTTGATACAATTTTTTAAAAGAACTAGAGTAAAAAAGAATATTAAGAAACAATCTACTAAGCAATAATCAATATCAAAAAATGTAGGCACTATTTATACTCTGAAATTAAGTTTAACCATAGATTCAAATGATGGGGGCTGGGGGGAAATCCCATTTCCCAAACTCCTACCTGTTGTCTGCCCATCACCACCTATTTCCACTTTTAGAATATGCAAAGAGGCACCGAAGTTTGGCTGGAGAAAGAAGTAACAGTATTAACCTGTGATTCATCGTATGATGGACAAAACACTTCAAGACAATTACTAATTGCTGCCTTCAATTTTACAGGTGAGAAAAGCAAAGCAAAACTTCAAATACATAGCAACTTATCCCAAAAGTAATCTGCCATTTAAAAAAAAAAACTAGAATCGTGAAGGTGATAAAATAATGAGTAAAATTCACCCTAGTTTCTAAAATATCACCAGTACCATTAAACAATTCTTTTTCCATTACCTTAAAGAGATAATCCAATATTTGAGAACGATAGGGCTCTGGGTAATTTACTAAAAGTCGGGAGGTTGCCTAAAAAGAAAAGTTTCAAAAGTATGAATGAAGCAAATCCAATCATGAATACTTTTTCATATTGCTTTATGCACCCCACCCATATGTAGCCAGCACTTAGGCAAAACTGAGCTGTATGAAGTCATTTCCCAGGCTGTTTTGTTTTGTTTTGTTTTGTTTGCCTGCATCTGTTTTGCTGCCCCACACTGGCCAAATGGGCTATTGTTCGTCCAATAGCTAAAACACGGATTCCAAGCAAGAAGCAAGTTTCTCTTCTACTGAGACGGGGGCTGGCTGGGAGGTAAGCTTGTTAATTCTATTGATGAACCTCACGATTACAAATTTACCTTGAGGGCCTGGGCTCAGGGAGTGGTGACTATAAGAAATGAAACTTGAGTTTCTCTATCTTAAGGCCATGAGTCAACTACCGTTTCTGGGGGCCAGGACAGGAAGGATGAATCTCAGGTAACTTCACCCCCAACATCTTGCAGGGAGATATGACGAGCAGAGGTGCCGAAAGGAACCACTACCCTCCTGTTCCTCATTAGAGATTTGTCAGTGCTCTCTGTTGTTGTTACGAATGACCACACGATGATGCCCAGACCGAGCTGCACTAAAAACCTCACGCAAGACTGGCATCGGAATGCGTGGGAAGACACAGGTGGAAGGTGCAGGGACCAACACCAGACCACACCTAACCATGGCTGACGACTGCTTGAACAAAGAAACCACAAAACCAGTGACTGAGCAGTAACGTATCCCAAGGGAAAGAGAAGAAGTAAATTGTATCATGAAACGCTGGCACCTCACTCCCAGATGGACCGTAGGTTCAGTCCACTGACACCCTGCCAGGCGTATGACAACGACAAGATGCTTGACTTTTATGGAACTCAGTGTGCCATTTATACTCTCGCATGTGCTCCCTCTGACATGTCAGCGGCACTGTATCTGTCTCCCCCACACCCAGAACCTCCCCCGCCTTTCCTGAGCCACCGACACGCGAGCCACCTCAAGCGCAACACACCCCCACCCGAACATGGCCACTTTTTCCTAAATCTGTTCTTCCTCCTGCATCTTCTATCTTAGTAAAGAACAACAATCTGCCTTAACCATAAACTTAGGACCACCCTTTCACCCCGCTTCCCATCCATTTTCAGTCACCCAGACCTCCTTACTGTCTCAAGAAACCCATCCCTTCCTCTTCACCCCAGCTGCCTTCATCCAGGCTCCTCGATTATTAGAGTAGCCTCAGTGGTCTCAGAGTCTCCCATCTGCCTCTTGTGTTCTATTCTCGACACAACTTGCCAGATTAATTTACACAAAACACAAATCTAATCGTGAAACTTCTCAGTATAAATTTACCAAGACCTCCCTCTCCTCCAAGAGCTTTCGGGATAAAGTTCAAACTGCTCAATCTGATACCCAAACCCCTTCATTATTTGCATCCTAACTCTGACACTTTATCTGTTGTCATTCTACATCTTCAGTCTAGATTAGGGGTCCGCAACCCCTGGCCACACCACAGGAGGTGAGCTTGAATGTAATGCCCTTGAATTGCCCCGGAACCATCCCCCCCAACCCTAGTCCGTGGAAAAGGTGTCTTCCAAGAAACCAGTTCCTGGTGCAAAAAAAGTTGGGGACCGCTGGTCTAGATAATAATCAAATCAAACTGCTTTTTCTCCTTCTTCTTCCTGGAATGCATTCCACCTCCTCACGCGGCCAAGGCCAGGTCATCCTTCAGCCGTCTGCTCACACTCCCCAAGGAAGGATGCGGCTGCTCCCCACTCCCCCCTCCCGCCCCTTGGCCCGCAGCAGGTGCCTCCCCTGCAGACGCCCTCCGCATCAGGCCCCTATGTCTACCGGAAGTCTTTTCACCCTGTGTCCTAATCACTGCTTTACTCTTTCACTTCGAAATTCCTCGAGGACAGAGATGATGTCTTATTTAAGCTCAGATCCCATTTATTCTCTTATTCAATACACATTTACTTAATATCTTTTACATTATCATCTGTTGTGCTGGTACAGGCAATCTAATTGCATCCTGATTCCAACATTTACAAGCTGTGTGACCGAGGGCAAACCACTGTGGAGTGGGTTATCGCACTCATTCAGCTGTTCTGAGATAAAATAAGATGGAAGCAAAGGATTTAGCACAGTAACTGGCACATAGTAAGCTCTCAATAAATGACAGGCATCAGACACACACACTGTTTTTAATAAGACAGTCACTGTTCCCAAGTAGTTTACAGACGAGCAGAGACTCAAACATTTAAGTAGGCACTCAGTGAGCGAACATTCTATATGCACACAAACCTATCTGGCCCAAGGTAAACAATGCTTCTGCGCTGCATTATGCCCTTATGGTGTGTTTTGTTGTTTTGGGGGGTTACTTAGCCCTCTCTACACTCCTATCCTGAACACTGAAAGTGCCAACTTTAAGCAAACACACTACATCGTCGTGCTACTGCAAGCCCCTAGTCACACCCATTGCAAAAGGATCAGCCAATGAGAATAGCCAGTTAAGGGTAGAGTAGCCAAATGTGGAAATCCCCATCAAGCAGTACAAATTACCAAATTACCAATCACAATCTCTGAATGGGGCCTGGAGCTCTTTCCAGCCAGCACAGGAGGGAGCCTGAGCACAGTAGCTGCCACGTAATGAGCTCTCAGAAAAAAGCAGGTGTCGGATACACACAGTGGAACACCTGTTTCGCCCACCGTCCTCGGGATAACTTGCTCCTTCCTGATCTATGAAACAGGATGTTGTTAACTAAAACTAGTCACATACCTGACGCCACCCCAAGGACTTTACATATTTCCTCATAACGTTCCTACCAGGCACATTATGACACAGGTATCACAGGTATCACGGTGACCCCAGAAAAGAAACTGAGACAGAGAAAGCTTAAGTCACCTTCCCAAGGCTGTACACGGAGCGGCAGGGCCCAGAGCAGACGCCTGGCAATCTGCTCTTAAGTCTACATTCTTAACTACAATACCACACCACCTTCCCACTGGACATGAAGAGTAAATGAGAGCATTCCAAACGTTTACCGCCACAAACCGTGCTAGGCACCAGGGACTCCACACAGAAGTTGAAAATGTTGTGCAAATAATGTGCTGCAACCCTGTTCATTTGATCAGTATTTGAGCTTCTAAGATGGGTAACGCACTACACAGGGAGACTCTATCAAAAGAGATAAGATCCGCCTACTCTGAGTTATGAAACAACTCTCATTTTAATCATTTTAAACTGAGTTAAGCATAATCAAAGACTGCCATGTTCCGCAAGTTTAAGCGCTTGATTTAACATCACAAATACCTACCCCACGTAGGCCTAACTTTGGGAGCCCACCTGCATCACCACCTCCTGAAATGAGGCACAACCTTGAAACTGAACTGACCTATTCTCCGGACTAAGAGACTGGTTCGGGGAGATATGGAGCAATCTACCACTCAGGATACACTCATACCTACTTACACCAGATGGCCCAAAAGGTGAAAGCATTTCCCAATATTACCAAAACCAGTGAACAGATTCCTAGGGCCCCTAGATCACTGGCCTGATTTCATGGCAGGACCCTTTAAACTTGGGACAATGGCTATGCACTGGATTTCAAACCATTGCCTGTATAATTATTATAGGAGTGTCAGTATAATCCTATTTAGATGAGTACTTTCTAGGTTACAATGGGCCCTACCCTTGACTTTCAGCAGATCAGTTACCCAGGCAGTTAATATCCTCATCATTGACTCAGATGCCTCAGCATGAAGGATGAATTGCATCGTAAACGCTGAGAGTCGGTTTCTTCTTTTTTGTGACGCAACTGCCTGACTTCAGCTTTGATGATTGTGGCATCCACTTCAAAGAAGTATCCATTTCAAAGATGGCTATCTCAAATAAACACACCACACAATAAAGAGGCAGGGTGAGGTGAGGCTTTGAAGTCTAAATTCACCAACAGAGGGAGTCTGCAAAATACCAGGTGCCCACCTGCAACCCAGTAAAAGCAGACACCTCAAGCCACACACCCCCTCTCTCTCTCTTCCCCACCTGCAGACTCAGCGTGTGGTCCCAGGTGTCCAGTGAGCTATGGAGCAATCCACCTTCTGCTTTCCAGGACTTGTGAGTAATGAAACTTCCCCTGACCCCAAGTTTCCTGACGGTTATTGCTGAGTGCACTGCAATCATAATAAGAACCAGTCCAGCCACAGCACTGGTTATCTACCTACTGAAACCAGCACAAACATCCACCCAGCAAGCTAGCTCTGAATTGCATTTGAGAGCGCAAGTTCCATCTGATTCAACCCAACAAACAACCCATTCAAGAGTTCAGCATTAATATTTTCAAATAAAATTAGCTGTAGCTTTGATCTGGGGTATGATAAAGAAAATCCCTCCCACTCAAACCTCCACTACCATAAACCCTACAGACCCAAAGGTTACCAAGAATAAAACAAAGACCAGACAAAGGTTTCATATAGGGGTGTCAAACTCATTTTCACTGGGGGCCACATCAGCCTCATGGTTGACTTCAAAGGGCCGAATGTGATTTTAGGACTGTATAAATGTAACCACTCCTTAACTAGGGGCAAGGAGCTCAGCGCTGCCACTGAGTAGAAACAAGGTGCCAGGCCAGATAAAACAAGGTGGAAGGCCAGATCCGGCCCACAGGTCTTGTGTTTGCCACTTGTGGCAACAATTGTGGTACAAAAATCAAGTAAATTTGGTTTGGAGCCAAGAACAGTCATGCTACAAATTCCCACACCTGGAGGCCATCTGACAGCATGACCAGAAGGCTAAGGAAATTATCAGCTGTGCCCACACAATTCTGCACGAAGCTGGAGTGGTCCTCCTGTCTCCCTCATGTACATAACACTGACTCATCCCAACTGCAACAGCCAAAAAGGGACTTAGGAGACATGCCAATTAAATGTAACTGGTATGCTGGATAGGGTTCCAGAACAGAAAAAAAAAAGAACATTTGCTAGCAGTTAAGTAAATATGAAGGGAAATACGAACTTCCATTAATGTTACCAATATTGCTTGTGACAAATGTGCCATGCTAATGTGGGATGCTGATAACAGAAGAAACTGCTGCAGGGTCCCTGAGAATTCTGTAGTGTCTTGCCAATTCTCCTGCATACCTAAAACGATTCTGAAATTAAAAGTTTGTTTAAAAAAATGCATCCCTTACTCCAGAGATCCTTGAACCAGAAAAAAAAAAAACTGTCGCTCAATACTCAGTATGAGAATCAAATGGTGTGTTTGTTAAAATGCAGATTCTTAGGCCCTACTCCAGGCTACGTCTGAATGGGGGTTGGGGGGTGGCCAGCATCTGCATTTCAACAAGCACACCAGGTGATTCTTAGGCCCCCTAATGGTGGCTAGCCACTGTCCTTGCCGTTGAACCAATGTTTCCCCTTCCTTGCGCACAAAAATGATGTACTAAGGTACTGAAACTTCTATTGGGCAACTCACACCCGTGAGCCTTGCCCATCTATCTGTAGGCAACACAGCCCCCCAGCAATAAACAATTCTAGACGATCAGTTGATACTAGTATAGCCTGCCATTTAAAAAAAGTCCCAGACGGTTCCAGGCCTCTTGCCTTACTAAAGATGTCTAGAGGTACCTGTCCTTCCTCCAGTAAAAACCTATTCAGACTTAAAAGATACAGAGAACAGACTGATGGTTGCCACAGGGGAGAGGTGTTGGGGGACAGGGTAAAAAAGGGTGATAGGATTAAGACATACTAATTGGTAATTACAAAATAGGCTTGGGGGTGTAAGGTAAAGCATAGGGAATGTAGTCAACAATACTGTAATAGCTATCTATGGCACCAGGTGCACTTAAATTATCAGAGGGGAAACTTTGTTACCTATGTAGATGTCTACCAGCTGAAACTAATACAAAATAGTGTTGAATGCAAACTGTAATCGAAATATAAAATAATTTTTTAAAAAAAACTATTTTGCACTGGCCCCTCTGAAAGGGCTCAGGTGCACCCTGCCTGCACTCTAGCGGTGCAGCGCGCTTCGCTTCTGACTCCGCCACCCACCTCTCTGAAACGGAAAAGGGACAGCCAAAGAATCTCACTGGGGCATCATCCCCTTCGCCTCCGGGAGAGAGGCTCTCCGGCTCCCAAGATTTCTGCAGCAACCCTCCCGGAGCACCCTCTGCGGCGAACACAGCCCCGGCCCAGTGTCCAGGCTAAAAGTTCAGGTCCCAGCCATGTCACTTTCTACACCTGTCATTCGGTGGACCTCTAGATGCTCAGCTGTTAAACCTAACCGCCTCTACAGCTTCATCCTAGACGAGCAAGCCCGGATCCCAGCACCGCAGCGGGCGCGCAGGCACCGCCGAGCCGGGGGATTTGTGGGGCGGGACGAGGCGGGCCCCGGCGCCCCCCTCTCCCCACGCGCTGCACCTCCCGCCGCTCACCCCGCCGCCGCTGACCGCGCCGATGCCATCGAACTCCCGGCCCAGCCCGTCGGAGTCGTCGAGCACGTACGCGCCGCCGGGCGCCAGCAGCGCGCACAGCAGCAGAGGGATCGCGGCCCGGCCCGCCGAACCCGCGGCGGCCGTCATGGCTTTCCTACGGCGTTGCTGGGAAGCCGGGAGGTGGCTCTCAGCCATTGTGTGGGTCACATGACTCAGGCGCCCGGGGAGGCGGGTCCGGTCGCCGCCACGATGGGAAAGGGCAGGAGGCTGCAGACGCCTCTGCCGCCATCTTGGGTGCGGGCGACAGGTCCCCGAGACTGTCGCGGTACTGATGTGGGAGAGGCCAGCGAGCCTTTTCCGCTCGGGCCTTTGTCTGGGTGCCGGCACCAACCTTATTGTGTGCTCACTCAGCTGCTTCTCCGCCGGCCTCCCCGGTGACAGCACTTTAGCGAAGGTGAAGTGGACGTTCAAGGCCTGGCAAGGCAACTAAGTAGAGGAGGCCCTGCCACGCCCTCTACCGTCAGTTTCAGAGCACATCTACCACGTGCCAGTTGGTGGCAGTGCGGGACAGTGGACTGACCCAGGGGCTGGCAGCCCCTAACCAAGCGCCAACTCAGCTCTCACCTTGGTCAGTCACGTAGCTTTTTAAGCCTGTTTCCTCTCCTATAAGATGAAACGGGAAGAGCAGCTGCATGGGGACATGATTAAATACAAGTAAGGTAATAGGCACTCGGTCAATTTTAGCTGAGTGTGTTACACGCTTGGCAGACAGTAGGTGATAAGGTTCTCCACTATGGTGACTCTGGATATTTAGGTTGGCGGGGAAGTTGTGAATTGTCCTGGGATTTTTGCCACATCCAGCATTCGTCTGAGATGTCTGATTTCCTTGGCACTGGAGCAAATTGCAGAGTCTCTGCGAGGCTACAGAGAAAGCAGCTATACTTGCTCTTTCTTTTTAAGTTACTATAGGTCTAATCAGCTGCCAAGGAGAGTGCCCTCTGTGTTTATTGTCCCAACGTAATTATAACCTGTGCCCCTTTCATCCTCAGAAGTGTTCTGGTTTGGGTGGTAAGTTACACAGTCCCCTGTATTTGGATCACTTGTTCTCTTCTATGTCTTGTTTGCCCAGCACCACACATACCGGAACTCTCTACCTTCCCTACTGCCACCAGTCTGTGATACAAGTTAGTAAATGCCCAACTCCCAAAGATTTACCTTCCCAGAGCTCACTCTGATCCATCTGTTCTAACACAATATGTTAAGCATGAGCGGGAGCCCCAGTAGATGAAAAGCCAAGTGTGGAGATCAGGACCAATAAAATGGCATTGGTCCCATCAAGACAGTATAATGTGTATAAAGCAAAGAGAAGTCATTCATGTCAACCAAATGGCTGTCAGCCAGCCATGACACTTTGGTTCAAGAAAGGAACTACCTAAGTCAGAGCGGACACATCTGGCAAGGAGACAGACACACTTAAGATATCTCCACCTTGGTCAGAGCACCTGTGTCTGCAAAGCGGGACCACCCACAGATAGGCTCCTGGGGTAATTCCTCACTTGGCATCAGTGTAACCGGATGCTGAGCTAGAGGTCCCGCCGAAAACAGAGATAGTCCCCACAGCTATTGCTTGGTAGATGAGGGAAGAAGTGGAGCAGGGCCACTGAGAGTTACTTTGAATGTCTGGAGAGCTTGGCCAGTGTTTTAGTAATGCTAAAAGCCGTGTCTGTGCTTGCAGCCAGGGAGACGGGCTTGACTCTAACGCATAAGGTGATAGAGCCAAGGGGCTGGCTGTGCTTCAGGAGAGCAGGAAGGCTGCTAGCTCTACATCGCCGGGCCACGCCTGCCCAGAGTAACAATGGCAGCCAAGAGAGACAGAAGAAACCAGACTACTGGCAGGTGTAACCTAGTATGTGAGGAGTGAGAAATGGGGTGACAGAGGAAGATCCGTGCCAGGATTTAAACCCAGGCACAGGGCAGCCATTGCCTTCTTGACCGTGTGGCTGGGGAAAGAGGAGCCTCTTGACCATGGAACAGCCATGCCAGGGTCTTGGCCAGCTGGTTTGAAAAGATGCAAAAGGACCCCCCACCCCAGCCCCACCTACCATGAGAATACAGTTTTGGATTAAGAGCAGGAGCCTAGCTAGCTGAGCATGGATGACTGGAAGAAGCCGGAATACAAACAGAGGGGAATCTGCCCAGCTGAGCTACAGACTTCTATTTCTTTTCCTGAGAGATGGTACCTCTGACTGGCCCAGTTTGGCAAAGGGAGGCAGGGCTGTGTGTGTCTGTGGGGTTTTTCCTTCCTAAAGAACATGGGATTTAATAGCAGAATTCCAACATTATTCTAAAATTTAATTTTTTAAATAATAGTTCCTTTCCTTTTCATAAGACCCTGGCATTGGGAGTCACAGTTCTTATTGGCAGCGGGCAATAGAACCCAGAGCAATAGAACCCAGAGCAACAGAACCCAGTGGTTCTGTTACATCAGGGGTGTCAAGCAGAACGGCCATGTACCACCCATAGGTTCCTGGGTGGCAAACTCCCCACTTGGCATCAGGGTGCCAAGACATTTATTGAAAAGACCCAGAAGGGTGGAGTCCTCCACTTTCAAGGTATAACTGAGGTGGGTTCCCGGCCACTGCTGAGACAGCCGAGCTCCACACCCCAGAGTGCTGCTCCACGCCCCTCTGATCTCCCTCGGCCTCAGCTGCCAGAGGCTCTGCCCTGCCGGACTGAGGACTTTGTCTGCCCTGCTGCCCACCTGGCTCCGGAGATCCTTCCCTGCAAGATGCTGACAACTCCCTTGCCCACCGTGCTGCCTCTGGGACCTGCAGACTGAGACTCGGGGGCTTGGGTTCATTATTCCCCATTGATTGCTGTGTGTGTGTGTGTGTTATAGTTCTCTTAGACTGCTAGAGTGTGAGTAGGATATTAATGTGTGTTGGTGTTCTACTTCAAGTGAACCTGCACTCAGTAAAAGCTGAATGAACGGTATCGTTACTGTGTGTGACTCTTGTCTGTTCCCTGGTGCCGGGCTGTACGGCAGGCAGCGAGCCGAGCAGTTGGGCAACTGACTTACAGGAAAGACTGTATCACGGACATACTCTTGTGACACCAAGGATGATGCGTCAAGTAAATGCCAAGTTTCCTCCCAACCCTGGGATTTTATTTCTATAAATATGCTCATAACATATGTATAATAATGTCACTAGACGGGAAGTGCCAAGGTTATAATAGAGGAAAATACCAGGTACGTGAAATTAGGAAGTGGAAGCTGTCCCCAGCCCAAGTCACCCTACAGCGCATCGTTGCGCCCTGTCCTTGGGAGGCACGCCACAAATATTTGTGCAATGTGCGGAATCTGCAGAAGCGGAAACACAAAGTATTTATCAGAAAAATTAGCCTGGCTGCCAGGACAAACCACTAGTTCCTCTTAGTTCATACAGCAAAGTAATTCTTCACTCGAGAAAACATCTCTCGTTTCGAGTTTATATTCTGCGCTCAGGAAACCATTAGACAATGAAGTTTCTAATAAACAAAAAAACAGGCAAACAAGAAATGTAAGCTGAAAAAGAAATCCTCGGGCTGCTGGACATAGAACTCAAATCTCTTCAAGGTGTGAGAAAAACGGAAATGACCGTTACACAAGTGATCACATGTGGGCCTGTTCTCATGATTTGGCTGCCAGCTTCCCGCAGACTGAAGATCAAAGAGAGAGATTGTGTGGAGGAAGTCAGGGCACTTTTCTGACCTTTCTCCAAAACAGCAGACGCCGTCACTCAGCTGTGTCCCATTCACTGGGAGCGAGGCACCCAGCCTGGCCCGCACTCCAGGTGGGAGAAGGTAGGCTTCTCCCTTGGAAAGGAGTGTTGCAGTTCGATACGGAACTCGCTGAAAGAAATGGGGGTTGTAAACGCCGTAAAGAGTTACTCAATCGCTGCGCATTCGCAATGGTGTTTTAGCATCCTCTTTACAAGACTAGCATTATTTTATTTTTACAAAATTTTAGGTATTCCTATTGCTCTTGGACCTTTATGATAATCTCTGCTCTGCTCATTCTGTGGGTTCTGACGTCACCCACAGCGCTGGGCAGCAGAACCTTCACCAGCCCTGAGGCCACAGAAACCCACGTCACGCACGCGCTGGCTCCGGACCATCCCGCCTGCCCGTTCCTGGTCACTCTGCCCCCGCTCACTCAGACTTCTGCCAAGCGTCTGTATTTCTTCTCTGTCCTATTCTTTGGATTAAACCTCCATAAACATTAATACATGCCTTGGTTTAACCTGAATTCGTGAAAAACACTTTCTGGCTCTTTAAACTATCCGCGGCTATCCCCATCACAAGCAACTGGTCATTGCAGACACTTCCACAAGGACTTGTACTTACCCTCCTGACTTCAAAACTTAAGCTAGTCGGCAGTCCGCACACCGACAATACATCAGAGGAAACTATCTGGAGTTAATAGTCCTCTTAGCATTTGGTTGTTCTTTTCAGTGAGTGGGGATAATGAAAGCATCAAAGCTATTTATATAATTTATAGGCATCAAGAAATAAATAATATTATATCTTCTAAAAAGGTGTTTAGGATATTAAAGTCTCTACCCTTCAGTTTGATAACATATCTCCACTTTAACTATTATTATATCCAAGCATGTTCTTACTGAACCTCGAAGTCAAAAGCATTTATAAGTCTGAAATGAGAGGCTGTATTAGCTCAAATTTATGTTAACAGGTAGAGACAACTGAACTAAGGGTACAATGATGCATAGGAGAATGTAATTACCAACGAAAGGACAATAGGGTTAAGTACCCAAAACAAACAAGAATTCGTACCCAAAGTCTTTCCACCCTCCTCCCTTTTCAGAGGTTCTGTTCCCCCCCCCCTCCCCTCGCAGTCTCCTCTTACCCAGGCCCCCACTCCGTACACCCATCATTCTCAAACCTTGGAGCATCAGAGTCACCTGTCAGAACACACATGGCTGAGCTGCAGCCCCAGAGCGTCTGACTCCCGGGACCTGGGGTGAAACGGAGAACTGGAGTTCTCACGCTTTCCCGGGTGGCATCCACGCTGCCGCTCCAGGGGCCGCACTCGGAAAACTGGTGCACTGGGTCCCGAGGAGCTCTGCCACAATGCAGCGGCCAAGCAAGGTTCTACCTGAGAACTTCATAGGTTCCCCCTCCCAGGAATGTTGGCATCTTCAGAAAGGAAGCCTGAAAACAAAACTTTCCAGACCCAGAAGATAGACTGTCTAATAGTTACATTTTAGGCCCCTGACAAGGAATGAGAAAAAGGTCTTTGCTCAATAGCCCTATACGAAGTCTTCGCAAATGTCTGTTGAATTGCACACCTCGGGTCAAACACGTGATCTTATCCCTGGGGATTCCAGACTCAGGACACAACCACAGATGCAAGCGAGAGAATGTTATCTTTCTGTAACTCCGCTAAAATTCGGTTTCGATCTGCCATTCTGCCAAGGTGGTGGAAACTTAATCACATCAACTCAGAGTGCAACCTCTTTTTCCTCCGGGTCCCACCTGTATTAACGTTCTTCGGCTGTCATTACAAAATACCACAGACTTCGCGATTCAAACTACAGAAATTTATTTTCCCACAAATTCTGGAGGCTGGGAAGTTCAAGATCAAGGTGTCGGTAAATGTGCTTCCTTCCGAGGCCTTTCCCCTTGAGCATCAGATGGCCGCCTGTCTCTGTGTCCTCACGTGGTTTTCCGATGTGCTATGCATGTCCCCGTGCCTCTTTGTGTGTCCAAATCCCTTCTAATAAGGACACCAGTCATATTGGATTAGGGCCATGCTAACAGCTTCATTTTAACTCACCCCTTTGAATGCCCTAGCTTCAAATACACTTACATTATGGGGTACTGAGGGTTAGGATTTAAACATGAATTTTGGCAGAGGGGTAGGGGTACACCATTCAGCCCATAACACCACCTAAGATCCAAGGAGTTTGCATGTTGCCAAATCTGGGAGGCAGTCGCTCAAGCCTTTGGCTCCCAAGGCTGCTATCAGTGCTGGCCTCAGGTGCCCTGGTTCGGGTTTGCGGTGAGTCTCATGCAGGACTCACTCAGGGTGCCCCTCATCTGTAGTTGGAAGGCCGCTTCGATGACAGACGGGGCCACTAGAAGCACGCATTAAGTGAGATGAGGACTTCCATCACTTTTGTGCCCCTCAGGGGCCTTCCAGAAACCATTCTACCCCGTCTGGGCTGTGCTGGGCACAGGGAGCTTGGCAAGGCTGTCTCAGGCCACTCACACTCATGTTCTTTTTTTTTTTTAAGAGTTTGTTTATTTATTTTTAGAGAGGGAAGGGAGGGAGAAAGAGAGAGAGAGAGAAACATCAATGTGCGGTTGCTGGGGGCCGTGGCCTGCGACCCAGGAATGTGCCCTAACTGCGAATCGAATCTGCGATGCTTTGGTTTGCAGCCCGCGCTCAATCCACTGAGCTACACCAGCCAGGGCTGTGATTATCATACCCATGTTCTTGAGTCTTGCCACCCATCCAGACCTTACCCTGGACATGAGACACAGGTTCCCTCTCCTCCCCAGCCCATGCAGCCCATCTGGGTAACTGTCACCCCATGCCCACCTCAGGGCTTGCTGGGGAGGGGAGGCAGGCAATGAAGATGGAGGGTCCCCATCTCAGACCGCTGCGTCTGAGCTCTCATGACTGTTCGCTCTCTCATGACCCTAAGCCCCACCTCCTCCACGCAGAAAAGCACTTTCTTCTGTTCTTGGGGGTGGGAAGCTTCGCCTTATCTTAAGAGAGATTCTCTCAAGCATGTTGTCTGTGCCCCAGTCCTTTCCATTTTCCTGAGTTGCCTAAATTTTTTAAAACTCAAGACCTAGGAATGTCTTCCCCCCCTCTCCACCTCCTCCCACTTTGCTCCCAAGAATTCCTTCTAAGAAATAAATGCTGCTTTAACTTTTGAAACTGCACCAGGCCGACAAGGCAGCCTCGCCAAGGCCCTTTCGTCATCAGACTCGGTTCTCGTACTGTCAGCCCCATGGAGAAGTTGGAACTGGGCAGAACCACATTCCCTTCCCCTTTCCGCAGGGGTGGCCCAAGCGCCCTGCCACTGGCCAGTGTTGGGTGTCCATTCTGTGGGCTCAGAAGCCCAGATCGCTGGCACACCAGACATACAAGCCCCCTGAAGGTAGTGTTCTGAATAGTTGCTAATTGGCTTTTTCTTATGTTGACATTTCAAATATCACAAGAGACTCAACAGATCTCAGATTTCTAACTCTTCTTTTCATAACCCTGCAGTTGAAAATACAGTATTGCCCAATATCCCGGACTAAACAGAAAGCAAATGTAATAAAAATTATTAAATGTCTTACTGTGTACAATGGGCAATGTTTTGACATAAGTCAGCCACGGTTCTTCTCCTATTTCATCAAAAGTGAAAGTTTGTGTTTCTCTGTTTTTTTAACTACATCCTTTTTTTTGAAGAGCAAAACACATAGATATTTGATATAAAAAATACCCTTTCCTAAAAGCAAAAGTATAGTCTATTGAGGTAAAGCAGGAGACACTGAGAGTCATGAAATGCCTGTGTGCAGATGCAACAGATACACAGATGTGAATGCCTAGCAAAAATGAGAATTCGAGTGCATAAACTGAAACCACTACTTTTGTTTTTGTGAAGCCTTAAGGATTGTATTAACTTTTCACATTATACTTAAATTTTTCATTATTTCAGTAAAAATATAAGGTATTCTGAATTCTTACATTACTATATGCCCAACTGCTTGGCAAGTTCTCATACACTTTATACATTATAAGCTACTACTTTATTATTCTCTTTGAAAAACCTACAAGGGAAGCATAGAAAACCTTTACATTCCTGCTATATCCTGAACAACCTCAAGATTAAAAGTCACGGTTATATCACAGGACATCTTTCCTATCCCCGGGGAGACTTTTTAAAAGGTACCAACAACAACCTCTAATATTCTTTTGCAAAAATAGACTCAAACTGTCCTGATTACAGTTTTTTAATTTAAAGATTTCTATCTCAAATTAACTCTGCCTTTATGAAGTAATATCCTCCCCTTCATTTGCAATAAAAGTTTAAGGTAGCAAAGTTCAAAAGTGCTGTCTGACTTTGCTATGTCTGAACAGTTCTAGGGGCTAACCCCGCTTCATATTAAACCACTTACCGATCTGGCCGCAGCAGTCACCGGGCTCCAGGGCTACACGAGTGTTCGCTGTAACAATCCACGTCTTCCATACACACATTTTCAAGTTTCATAAAATTGTTGGTTTTTCCAAAACTGTTAGCTCAACTAGTTTTAGCATGGTTTCAGCAATCATTGTCTTCTATTTCAAGATTCAAAGGAGAAAATGTTTCTACAATATAATACTATACAGCTAATCCTTTAAAGAACCAAAGGCTATCAAGTCAGCTACCTTACCTTCCTTAGCTTCGCTGCCACTGCCGTTAAGCAATGAAGCATGCTCAGGATACACCCAGCCCCCACCCTTCCTCTGCTGTTTTTCCCCCCCCAAGGATGCTGACCACCCTGATTCCATCTACGACATCCTCTCCTATCTCACACATCCAATGACTCATCCTATGGTTTTGTACCTATCTTGGAGCATTTTTGCCACTGCATTATGGTTTTTATATCACATACCTTTCTCATACATTAGGTGATAAGCTCTTACGGGCTATACCCAGGTCTTAAATATCTCCCAGCACTGTGCCCTACGTGTATAATAGAGGTATTTGTTGACAGAACAAATGAATGAATGAGTCAATGAATAATTGAATTCTAACATAGTCTATTAAATAATTCCCAAATAATTTTGGCACACAATTATAATTAACGTGCAAATAGAAAAACAAGTTGTGAAATCATCCTACAGTAGATAATAGATAAAACGCATTTTAAGGTATTTAGGAAGCTTTTTTGGTTCAGCGTTAGCTAAGGGGCATCCTTCTTGTTAGGGTGCTCCTTCCTCATTGGTCTGCGCTGAAATATAAGTGCAATTTCCTGTCTGCTCCAGAGTGCGGGTTTCTCTTCTTGACGCGAGCAGATTTATCTGGCTCCTGGTTTCACAAAATCGTCGCACCCAAGAAACGTGGGTAAGTGTAAAATTTTAAAATGAGATGAGGTCTTTAAGGAAATAACATATTTTTTGTATGATTGTCAGTGGCGTTTGCAACAGTTTGTCTGGTTTAGGTGGCGTATGTGTAGCACTGCAGAGCACTGTAAGAGAGAACTGAGGGTGACACATGTCCCTCGGCTTTGAGCAGTGGTCACACGACGTCACAATCCGCGTTTACAGATAGTTAGGTAAACGATCCATACACACACAAAGAATCTGCTCTGTTTCCTCTTCAAGAAGCAGTGTGCGGGCAAACTGAAATAAGTGGGCAGAAAAACAGCTCAGTAGCCTGGGAAGGCCCTCGCTGTAGAACGGGTTCCACCGTTTCCTCATCAGCACAATGGTCTAGTGATGCTTTTTATACCGTCAGGAATAATGTAAAGCTTGGAAATAATATTTCCATTATTGATAAGTGTCGGGCACATAGTAGAGTCTTAATCAGAAGCTATTAAAGTAATAAACGAAGGCAAGTGTTTCCCATAACAATGAGGAGAAACATGTTATCTTTTAATCATTGTCATCAGTGATTTGGACTATTTTAGAAGAGCAGATATATTTAAGAACAGGTATATTTTAATATCCTGTGGATTATCTTCTTTTGGCCAAGGGTAACAATCCAAACAAAATCAAAAACTCTTCCACACTTCTCAGAGCTGGTTCTAAAAATAATTTTTCCCCAAGTTTGATTAATGAGCATACTATCTGAAAAATGTATGAGTGATAAGAATTATGTATTCCATTAAAATCTCAGATTCACACAAATTCATGTAACAACTATTATCTGCAGAGCTGGTATCGCGTGTGAAATGTTACCATCCAGAGTGCACTCGGAATGCCTCTGGCTTCTCTGTTAGACTCTGGGTAGATGGCCAGAGATGACCTCCTTTTAGCTCATCTACGGTAAAGGCTAACCGTGTGCTAGGTACTTTGCTTCATGTCTTAATGCCATTTAATTCTCAAAACTATTTGAAGTGGGTACTATCTTACCCTGTGAAAATTAAAACTTAGAGGAGTGAAGACACCACGGTCAGACACCCCGCCCCCGCAAGGACAGCTGAGAGCATTTCCAGCTCCCGAGCAGCGCCCCCACACACCCTCCGCAACCACTGCCTCTGTTGCCCACAGAGGAGACGCCCAGTATCTGCTTCATGAAACCATTCCGTCTGTGGTTGTTTCTGAGAGACAGGAAATGTTTTTACACAGAAAGAAATTTCTTCCTTTGATAATTGTATAAGTCCTCCTAAAATTATTCTTTCCATTTTATTCATCTTATCTTTTCTTTAGAGAGAAAAGATATTTATTGAGTCCCATGGATAAAGGAGGAAGGGGCATCCACAGGCTGTCACTCAGCTCTCTCGGTCCTTGCGCCGAGAAAGGACGTTCGCGTGGTCCAGGTGTTCTCCCAGACACAGGGGCCTAGTGGTGGACGGGACGCTGCGCACTCATCAGAGCTCCGTCCTCCACAGCTCATTCAGTCCTTCATGCATCATGGGCTGTTTTCTAGTGTCGTCTTCCTTCTTCCCTTACAGCCTTTCTTTAGTAAGGACTATGGGGATAAGTCTCCTCAATGGTAGTTTATCTGAACATGTCTTTATGTTTTGCTCTGCTTTGAAATTTAGTTCTGTTCACTGCACAAGCATAGGATGACACATTTTCTTAGCAATTTGGAAATAGTAATCTGCTGTCTTCTGATTCCTATTATTATTGCTGTTGAGAAGTACTTTGTCAGTCTGAATTTTATCCTTTGTAGTTAGTGCATCTTTTCTCTTCGGCTCTTTTTCTTAGTTTTTTTGTTGATCCGCAGCTTGATTACCGTGTGTTGAAGTGTGAATTTCCATCTTCGTTTGTTGGTTTCTCATGCTAGTTGGGGTTTGCTGGGCTTCATAAATCGGAGGATTCTATCTCCTTCATCAGTTCTAGACAGCTGTCAGCCACACTTCTTCTGTGTTATATGTCTATTAATTTTCTTTCTAGAGCTTTTGTGGATCTGGTGCTCTTCATTTTTTATTTTGCTGAACCTCCCACACAGTGGCTCCTCTCTCTCTCTCTCTCTCTCTCTCTCTCTCTCTCTCTCTCTCTCTCTCTCTCTCTCTCTCAATGAGTTTATACAATGAGTTCATATTTGGTGGAAGTCTATCTGTGAGAATTCTTTGAAGTCTGGGTTGGGGAGCTTTCCTCCGGGGAAGATTTGTATTTACTTCTTTCCGGTGCCTAAAATCTTTATTTTTGTGTGTAATAAAAATTTCTGGTGCATTCACTGTCATATTATTTAAATCATTTTTTTGTTTTTATGAATTATGTTTTATAGGTGAGGGAGAAAGTTAAATGATATCCTTTTTGAGGAAGGCATATGAGTCCCATCTGCAGATAAAACATATATTGACTGTGAAGATTTTTTATATCCCATCTCACATACTTTGATTTCACTTTTCAGCTTTTTTTAAAAGATTGTATTTCTTTTTAGAGAGAGGGGAAGGGAGGGAAAAAGAGAGGAAGAGAAACATCAATGTGTGGCTGCCTCTCACACGCCCCCCTACTGGGGACCTGGCCTCAACCCAGGCATGTGCCCTGACTGGGAATCGAACTGCTGACCCTTTGGTTCACAGGCTGGCTCTCAATCCACTGAGCCACACCAGCCAGGGCCTTTTCAGCTTTTTAATCACAATAACATACACACAGAAAAATGCACATATGCTAAATGAACAGCTTGTTAACTTTTACGAGCAGAACTAGTTTTGGAATAAAGACTCTTATCAAGAAACAGAACATCACAAATTCTCAGGCCCCAAAATGCCCTCTTCAACTCATTGCCCAGCCCCTCCCTAAGGAAACCACTGCCTGATTGCCTGATCTCTCCCTCCCTCTTCCTCTCTCTCTCTCATGATACCTCACCCGGTTGTCTGAAACAATGCGGTTCAGCTTTGTTGAGAAGGGAGAGAAATGCACCATGGTTCTTCTGGCTTATAATAGATACATGATTGATTGATAGATCTAGCAATAGGACTTAACATTTTTTTCATCAACATATTATGAGTTGCGCAAGATAATTTCAACTTTAAAACAATTCACAGAGGATTCCTAAACTAAACAATAGACTTCAAAATTCAGAACTGTTTTTTTGCAGTGTGCTAATAGGATATTGGCTAGTACAGGAAAAATAAAAGCTGATCTAGGTAAAAAATTGTTACATTATCCATTACAACTTGTTGAAAAGAAACACTTTTTTCCTTTCAAAGAAAACATGGTGATAGATATAGGGAAACATATTGTCTTCAGGTGTGAGGACGTGATAGGAGATGGTGATTCTTACAAGTTTATTTGAAGCCCATGTAGTCCTATGGAGAACATCAAAGTGATGTCATCTAGAAAACATGGGATTGTTTCATCTGTAATTTGCAGAGATTATTATTCATAAATCGTTTTCTTCAGTTAGAACTGTTATAGCTAGAGATCTTGTGCTAATCTATTCATGCTACATCTTAGATGTAAAATAGAAAATACTCTCTTCCTTCTCAACAAAGCCAGTCTGCATTGTTGCAAAAATACCTCAGACTTCTAAGGTATTTTTGTACAAAAGGCAAAAGACAAAATAATTCAGAGTTAAGACACTCTAGCATCACAATAAAGGACAGTGTCTCAGTTCTACCAATGACACCATTTAGGATTAACTGCTTAATATGGGGCTCAGTTCTTTATGTGTAATACAGCATTATGGTACATAACACAGAGTTCTAGTGAAACATAAATTCCAAGCACGCGTGCCATTTAATACAGTTCCCAGAACACCCAGCCCTCAGCAAATGCGCCACCACACTGACTGACTTCTGACAGCACAGGTCAGCTTTATCTGGTGTCTAATCAGACAGTGTGTGCTGCTTCGTGCCTGCCTTTTTCTATCACTCTGCACTACGTTTCTGAACTTCAGCCATGTTATTGCATGTGGCAATCATTTGCTCATTTTCACTTATGTATGGATTGCAATTGTGTTGATACACAGCAATGTACTTATCTATTGTACTGCTAATGAGTGCTCCATCTGAGGGATACTACAGAGAGCACTACTGGGAACGGCCTCATTCTGCCAGGCTTTTGGTAATCAGTCCAAATGCATGTATTTCTGTCGAGCACGCGCCTCGAAGAGGGGCTGCGGAACCGCGTGGTGTACACAAGTGCCGGTTTTCCAACCAGCAGTACACAAGTGCTCCAGGCTCTTCACATCCTCACCAATGCTAGGCATTTTCTGTCTTTTTCATTTTATTTCGTCTGCTGAGTGTGTCGTTGCAACTCATTGTGGTTTTAGTTTGTATTTCCCCGATGACTAATGAAGATCCAGTATTAATTTACTATTAACCTGAGATTTGAACAGTGTTAGATTCGAACCCTGCTCTGAAATGAGGACCAACCAGAGGCCGTGAATACGCAAGGAGTTTTTAAATAAGTTATAGCTCGTCATAGCACCAAAGCTGAGCTGGAGAAGTAGCCCAGCTGTCTGCAAATGTCTGTAAAGTTTGTTTACGTGAAAGCAGAGGCTCCTGGACCCCAGCATGCGTGGGACGGCCCAACACCACTTCCTACCTGCATGGGGCTGTGCTCCGTCCCCAGTTTTCCGGCACGCACAGGCTCTGGCCCCCACGGGTCCACACCAGCCCCCCGGAAATCCAGAGCTTAACCGCTCGCTTGCCTCCCTCATCTCAGCTGCCACTTCCTTTTTCCGTCACAATTTTTTTATTCCTCTCTGGAAGGTACACATGTTGCTTTAAAGGGCTGTTTTTCACATTCTATTCATATTTTTATGTGCGGTAAAACTAGATTTCAGTTCTCCATTTTGTTTTAAGAATGGCATATTTATAACATGTACTCTGGATATCAGTTACCCTATAACAAGAATCCTTCTGGTGACAGGTCTCTTCTGTGCTTGCGGTTCAATGACACTGGGAAGGCAGTCTTTTGATGGTACATAGGCCCCACAGCACACAGAAAGAAGGCAAATCTTTCTTCTCTTGCCTAGTGACTCTACAAAGCTTCCTGTGAACGTCCCCATCAGATAAGTCGTCTGAAGCACCAGTGGGCCTGGCTAGCCAAGGAAGACAGAGAAAGTGTTTCTCTGCCCCAGTGTGGAGGAAAGGACAGCTTCCCTATTCCTACACGAACCTGTAACTTCAAACTTTTGTTTAAAAAAAAATGAACTGACCTAATAAACAACCAGGCTTAAAGGAGGAAACTGATGTTCACAAGATTTTAACCAGAAATGAGAACATTCTGCCCCCTATTTCACAGGAAATCTAAAAGAAAAGATTAGTTAACCCACAAAGAAAGCAAAGGAAAAATGAGAAGTGGTAATGTTATCTAATTCTGTATGAAGGTTCAGTAAGCTGTGATAGTTCAAAACACTTTATCAAATTTCTTGTGGATATATTTTCTTGGCTAGTAAGCTGGTTTTGAAAGTGACTTATTCCTAGGATGCATTAAAAATGTGAAATCATACAACCATATAGCTTATCACGTACTGGAAAGCATTTACTGATTATAAACATATCAGTGAATTTGTCATCTTTTTTAGCTCTTAAAATGACTTTTCAATTTTAGTCTTGTGTTCTTAGATCACGTCCGGTGAGAAATATAATTCCCTCTAATCTGGCATTCCTTGAATACTTTTTATTTGAAGCAGGTGAAATATCCCAGGTTGACTTCACCTAATGAAGTCAATGAGGTTATCTTTCTTTCATAAACACCTCTATTGTAATTTAATGCAATTTTGATATCTCTAACAAGCAAAATAAAAGAAGATTGTTTCAAAACCCTGATGTATCTGGTAAACCTCTAATCTATTCTAGTTCATCTTTTATTACAGAAACGAGGCATTCTAAAAAGAGATATCAATCTCTGTGAAGACTAAAGGCGTATTTGTGTTTGCCCTGGTCTCCCGAGTTTCACGACGGAAAACAAACTGGGGACACCACTCTCTGAAAGACTGACCCTTGACACTTCTCCATCAGCATTCCGTGATGATGGACACGGGGACGTCTGCTGGTCAAAATTGACAGGCCACTCTGGCCAGCCACCAGGTGCCTGGGTTCTGACTTTGCACCATTGACATCTGTGTGAAAGCGACCCACAGCCATTTTTTTAAAGCATTGATGCACTAATCAGAACCTTTGGAAGCAAAGAAAAATTGAAGAAGTCTTGGGAAGAGAGAATTAGATGTTGAAAACCATCTAAACGGGGCAAGACTTACTTTGCTGTTTAGCTGCTAAGACCTAATGTAATTGCCACGTTAAAAAGGAAAAAAATGAACAGCACGTGTATTGATGAACAGCACGACCTGGATCACTATTTGTTTCCAATAGTTTACATCTTCGTGGTCATAGTCAGCATTCCAGCCAATGTTGGATCGCTCTGTGTGTCTTTTCTGCAAGCAAAGAAAGAAAATGAGTTAGGAATTTATCTCCTCAGTTTATCACTGTCAGATCTGCTGTATGCGCTCACCCTCCCCCTATGGATTAACTATACTTGGAATAATGACAACTGGACGTACTCTGCTGGCTTGTGCAAGGCGTGTGCTTTCTTCATGTACATGAACTTCTACAGCAGCACGGCCTTCCTCACCTGCATCGCTGTTGATCGGTTCTTGGCAGTCGTCTACCCTTTGAAGTTTTTTTTCCTAAGAACAAGAAGATTTGCGTTCATGGTCAGCCTGTCCATCTGGGTAGTGGAAACCATCTTCAACGCTGTCATTTTGTGGGAAGATGAGATATCTACAGAATACTGTGATGCCAAGAAGTCTAATTTTACTCTATGCTATGACAAATACCCTTTGGAGGAGTGGCAAATCAGGTTCAACTTGTTTAGGACATCTACAGGCTATGCAATACCTTTGGTCATTATGATGATTTGCAACCAGAAAGTCTACCAAGCGGTGCAGCATAATCAAGCCACGGAAAACAGGGAGAAGAGAAGAATCGTAAAACTGCTTCTTAGTATCACGTTGACTTTCGTTCTGTGTTTCACTCCCTTTCACGTGATGTTGCTGCTTCGCAGCATTTTAGAGCCTAGGTCTACCCCCGAGTCGGGGAAGCAGACTTATAAAATATACAGAATCACGGTTGCATTGACAAGTTTGAACTGTGTTGCTGATCCAATCCTGTACTGTTTTGTAACTGAAACGGGAAGATCCGATATGTGGAATATATTAAAGTTCTGTACTGGGAAGGTTAATCAGTCACAAAGCCTTTCTATGTCTACAAAAGATACTATTGAGCTAAACATCCTGGAATAGAACCGAGGAATTTATTTTCAGGTACACAATATTGTATCAAGATTACATTTTGAAAAGGAAACCTAGCTGGGGATGGAACTAAGTTTTCCACCCCAGGCTAGGTTGTGTGAATATTTTAATATCCTCTCCAGTGGAAATATTTTCAAAGTGCACTGTATACCTCCCTGACTTTTATTAAATGAATATTAAATAAAATGTAATATTTTCCTAATGACTTGGGTCATTATTATGGATGAGAATTGTTTTTGTATCTGCGCTCTAACCCCTGAGAGGTTAGTAAGACATACAGGACTGTGTGTCTTTCATTGAGTGAACTTGATGTCTGGTTTTTATGATTTTTCTTACTCTTTCTATAGATTTCAGGCTGTCAACAGGCTACGACTTCTCCCAACTGTATGTACTCGTCTCCAAGAACCCCCTACTACAAAATACTGCTTCTAATCTTCTCATGCCTTACTAAATACTTGTTGAGCCCGTTCTATGTACTGTTTTGTGTTTAGTACCGGGGTTGAAAAGAAAATGGTCCCATGAAGCCTTGTGAAGCTCACTCCAGTTCAGACGCCTCGTCACTTGTAATTAAAGGGGCAGGAAATGGACCCAGAGCGACAGTGGGAGGGCTGTGCCCGCGAGGTAAAGTACGTCGTGGGTGGTGTGGGAACTCCGTCAGCTGCTCAAAGACCTTCTCCACCTTCTTTCAAATCATTCTTTTGTTTTATTTTGACTATTTGAATATTCCCAGTCGGGTACATGATAGTTGAAATTAACAGAAGTTTAACGTTAAAACAAAAAATTATAGACAAGACATTTATTATATTAAGTGATACATTCAGAGACTTCCTTTGGGACTCAGAATATTCAGAGAATCTCGATATAGTATACTTTCAAATTCCCATTGGAGAAATCACTCTGCCTAGTTTTAAGTAGGTGTTAGGTAAACCCTTTCCCTAGCCAGCATATTTTTTATCCTACTCTTTCCCTTTTCTCCTTCCTTCTTTTTTCTATCTGTTTCTTCAACTCTCCCTGACCCCCTGCCCAAAAAATGATCAGACAGCAAAGGTTTGGATTACATTCGCTACCCTCACATTGGAAAACAAAAAGCCAGATGATAAGACAGATTCATCTCCTTTCAATAAGGAATTTCTAGACACACGCTGAAAAATCGGTGAGCGCACAAACCGAGCACATTTGCCAGGGAAGTTTTCCGTGACGACGTGGACGGGAGAGAGCACTTGCTCAGAGGCCGTAGGTGCACGCCGTGTGCTTTGCATTTTTCTGGTTATAAAGCTTTTACAGAATTAATAAATTGTGTCTGGGAACTCGGAGAAACACCTGTGCTGAAAAACTGAAGATAATCTGTTAAAATCAAAAGTAACTGAAATGGTGCAGGCCATTTGATTCATTATTGATAAGTGATTGCCAGCCTGTGAGTAGAATACTTGTGCAAGTCTGGTGTCTTGTCCAAGATCACAAAACTCCCCAAGATTCCCGACTTCCCTCCACAGTTGCTCTGCCCCTTTTGTTGATTTATTTGCTTTTTAAAATATTTCTACTATTTCTTTTTTTAGGCATACTAAAGACAAATGCATGAAGAGCTGTTCAGGGTAGTCATTGAATTTTGGTCAGGAAGAGGGGGAAGAAAGGGTTGTTTCATTAATTAACACCTCTTGGAATATGATTAATCACTGGACAGTAATTGAACTGTTCCAGAGACCTGATTATGATTCATCTCAGTTGGGTAGATGAAGACATAGCAAATACACCTATGTTGCACCTTTAATAAGACTGCTCTACCTAATGATTCACAGCAAAGCCATCGTTATGGGGTGTTGGGAGATAAGGTCCAAAATAAACCAGGCTGGCAAAACCGTGGAGCAGCCTACACTTCCTGTCAGAGCAGGCCCAGTCACAGAGAATCCACGCTGGGAGGACGCTCAGGTGATGTAGGGAACAGCCTCCACACGTGACTCAAAATTATATACACTCCTGACGCTGAAAGTTAATCCTTTAGTCTTGAAAGGCTATTTAGGCTCCTGATTAAAGTTCTCCACTAAACCGAAAATACCCCAGGAAGGAATAAGACCTTGTAGCTTTCATTATCTGGGACTTTGTCATCAGAAGACGTAGATTGGAGCACTACCGATCCACTTACATACAAGATGTTTGACCTTAAAATTTTTTGTGCTCTCCCCAAGGCTGTTTCTATAAACTGCAGAGACAAATTTTAATAAGGAGAAGTGAAAACACTTTGTAGATTTTGATGAGATTTCTTAATGTTCACCGTTATTATTCTCCTCGCTATCAGGAATAGGGCACAGCTACCCAAGAGATCAAAAAGTCCCTGGAGGAACAGCGCGGGTGGGAGTGTAGCAGTGTGGGCTGGTGGGAGCGGCTCTAGCACGCACTGCCGTGGTTACTTCCTCCAGGTGGTTAAATGCATCCACGAAGGTACCTTAAGGGCCTTTCTTGTTCCTGGTTCTGTGGGACATCTTCAATATGCCTGCTCCTAGGAGTTCACAGTTCTAAGGAGACACACTCAGGATATTAGCATAAACACAGAGATAAATATCCACTTTTAATTTGTTTAAACTTTTGAGTTTTGATTTTCTTATTAAGAATGTTATTCTTTAACTTAATGAGCTCAATTAGACCTCTGGATGGGCCAGTGAAGGCACTGAGGGTAGGTATCTAAAACCTCCATTTCTGCTGTCTCATCTGGGGATGCTTTGTCAGTGAGGAGGAACTTGACATACATCCAAAACAACCTCATAGTTCTATTCTTTAATGTCCTGATCAAATAAACAATTATTCACCAGTTGCATCTGTTGACCTTGTGAACTTGATTTATTTATTTTTAAACAGATGTACCAATTTTAAAATGGGATTTGGGATACATAGCATATAGGCATGTCTTGTTATAACACTTATCTTGCCCTGGGCTTTTTTTTTTTGCCAGTCATCTCCATCATCATTCTGTCATTTATGCAGAGGGCCCCTGACATTTTCTGGCTAAACCCATCCACAGGTTGCTATGGCAACACAATAGCTACTGAAACACCCTGTCCCGGGAAAGCCTTTGTGATAATAGATTTCTTTGTCTAGGTCCGGCTGTTCCTCCAACAGACACACCCACGCACAAATACATATTCATGGACACGCAAACAACCTGCCCCTTCTCACAAAAACAAACAAAACACGCCTCGTCTTTTTTAGCACATGCTTGTACTGCTTTGAAAGCTATCTGAAACCAACTGGTAGAACACACATCACCTCCCTAACTTCTGAAATAACGCCCCATGTGGGCGTTCTCATTTTCTTGTTTGCAAACTCAGCAGCCAGAAGGCCATCGCTAAGGTTCTTCCTCCCTAGTCTTCCTCCCGCCTTTCCCCCCTCGCCAAAACTGGCTGCCAAGGGAGCTGTGGGAAGACAACAACGATCTACATTTTTTTTCATTCCTCTGCTATTCTGGAAAAGTCCAGTTCTGACTGAGATGTTTTGTTTACAGCTCCTGGGTATGTCTTGTTTTATTTTTTTTTTCGTAGAATAAACATCTGATTCAAATCAAGTCAAGAATCTTTTGGCCATTTTTTTATTGTCATTTCATGTGTTTAAGTTTGTGTTATTAGCTGCATCCGCCGAATTTCCCTTATCTGCAGGAATAAGCCACTGGTGACAAACTCTAGTCATCTTGGCTAGAGGGAAGTGATGTGCGAGTTACGATTCCTCTCCTCTGAGGATCCTTTTCTTACTACATGTATCATTTGCTGCTGGCCAAGGAAAGTCACACAGGGACCCTGACTGTGGCCACTAGGTGTCGATCATGTTCCACTCGGAACTTGGAAGTTTGTGGCTAATGGCCACGCCCCAAGAGCAAAAAGTAGCTTAGGGTGACATTTTTCTCTCCAAGAAACAATTGAGAAATATCTCCTAAATTCACTTGGAAGTGAATGAGGAGAAGTGCTGAAGTTCAGTCTGTATCACTTATTTCTCTGCTTTCTGGAAAGCTTAGTAATCATCAGATAATTTCACTTGGTTTAAACTCCATCTGTCATTTCAGCAATTTTTTTTCAGCCTGTTAAAGTCAGTCCACATGTAAGAGCACATTGACTAAGCTGTATAATTTCTGCAAGATTGTGCCTATAACATTGGTAACTTCTTTAGTTATCTTACTTAGGTAAGACAATACTATCTACCTTTCATATAAATAGAAACATAAAACATGTGAGCTATAAGCTATTTGCCATTTTGTCTACTATGATATTACTATATATAAAAGTCAAGATATAATTCAACATATGTATGATTTTTAACTTCTAATATATTATTAGATCTTGGCACTAAAAAATTACCTCTGTTATTTTGAATTGTTTAAATCTGTTCTTCTCCAAAGAACAGTATTGCAACCATGTTCTAATTAAACAGTATTTGCATAGTATTAAACATATAATGGCCCATAATCTATTTTTCTCCCTGTAATTTTATTAAGCCTTTTATTAAGTACCTGTGGATTTTTTTACACATGTAAAAATAGGTTATGGTCCCTCAAATAATGTTGCAATTTGGTATTCAAAAAGCAAGCCGTATAAAGGAAGGAACTACGGAAGCCTTCTCATCATTCTTCAGTGCAAGCTTTAGAGTAAAAATAGAAATTTTATTACTTGGGAAATTAAACAGAATCGAGAAATCTTGCCCTACAATGATGTGACTTGGCGATGTTGTGAAAAATATTAACTTCGGTCTCAGCATTTATTGATCTTCCTTGTATATTTGATTCAACTTGTGAATATCCTTCTGAAAGAATCCCATTCATATTTCTGGTCTTCGCTCCAGGACTATTGACACTTATGAACAAATGGGTTGACTTGGAAACGCTGATTCTTTTGACAGCTAAGTGAAGCGCATGAAAGGATGGTGATAGTAGGCTAAGAAATGCCCCAGGGAGGTGCACTCTTCCGCTGTGGATGTGGGCACAGGACTGCTGACTGTTGGAGAGATTCTCTCTCTTGCTCCACAAAACTTGTTCTGACCCTTAAAAGGATTATTGTTAAGGGGGTTCTCCATGGTAACCAGCATTGTTCAGTGAGTAAGTAGTAATCACTGGAATGAACTAAGAATGATACAATACTTTGTCCTAACCCCAGAGATCAGTTTTTGAAACCCTTGGAACTATTTGTCTTTCCAGTTAAAAAATTTTAAGATTTTCTG